GAAAAATTTTTGGATTGCGTAATTAAATACACTAAAACGTTAATCACACCACATTTTTATAACTAACACGCACAGTACCAAAAATATATTCTTATCTTAACGTGCTACGCACACAGAGTAAAAATTTTGAAGCACTAGGTATATTTTAAAAGCACTTTTTTAAATGTCGGTGAAATCAGTGAACTGTCACTTTAAGGCTGTATTCGCTTGTTCGCGATCCAGAGTTAGGTAATAAAAAAACCCATAATCGAGGCCTAAGCTAATATCGACTTAAATTACAAGGCTGGTTCAGATGTGTCGTTTAATTTAAATCAAGAATTGATATTTATCCAAATGGCTCGTTTTCTTCATTACGACTAATCAAATCTTGCAGTTAGCAAACGGACGCTGTTTTCTAACCAGCCAAAGTCATTTTCGAAAATATTTTCGCATGAATACAAATAATTTTCATCACATCTTCATCACATTAATTAATATTATCAACTTTGATTTAAATATTTGTGCTTTATTTGGTTATTGTTAAGCTCTGGTTTGGCTTGGCATTATTCAGCTTCTTGGGGCTGGCACTATTTGCCCTGGCATCGACGAAAAAGCTCAAAGGACCAAGAAAAATAGGTACTTTCCACAACTATGCATATATCATGCTTTATATCTAGTAAATCTTGCTAAGTTTCAACGAATTCAAGCAAGTTTGAGTTTTGAAGAAAATGTGTCTGTTGGTACTAAACATTTAGGAGGGCGCTATTTTTAAGGAAAATCCACTCCTTTTGCTCAGTAAAAAACGTGCGATAAAATCTTTTAACGCAATAGATTTTAAAAATGTTGACTACGAATCTTATTCATACATGACAGAATTTCTTAAGAATAAGTAGTATTGTATTTTTTTAAAACAATTTGTGTTCAGGTAAATATGTAAAAACATCCTCATTTAATATACCGGTAAATATGTAAAAACAGCTTTTAACAGTTCAGCGTTTCTAAACAAACTTAATAATATCTATAGGTCACCGTATAATTGTACAAGTCATTAGTTTCTATTCTAACCAGAAAAATTAAAAACTGTCGATATATTGTTGGTACTAAAATTCGCGATCTAAATCGTCTATTTTCGTATGTCGTCAATTTACAATCTTAAGCTGCAGTCACTCTGAAACGACAACGCGTAGTGTTTTTAGTCTGTGGTAAATGCATGTCTATTTTCCTAATATAATTGACGCGCGTCAACTTAATACCAGGTTTATAAATTTCGATTGTTGCAAATTGATTTCTAATTTTAAGGTATTGCCAAGGCGAAATACATGACGCGTTGCGTCGATTCTACTCTGCGCCAGTGCAAATGGAGCCTTATTGTCTTGAACCGTTGCCCTTTTAAACCAATGCGCTTACATTGCGATATGTAAATCGTTATCCTTGCACAAATTAATCATTAGATTGCTAATAATGGTGATCCTCGTACATAATATACGGAAACATTTGCAAGTACAATATATGGTGACACATTACATATTACCAGGTAAGCATTAAATCAGCGATGCCAGGACTGTTAGGGTCAATTTATACCGCCGCGGAATGGAAGCGAATTTTCCAATTTCCAAGCCAAAAAAAGAAGTCGTGCGTCTTCCGCGGCATCCTCACTGATTCACGAGAATTCGCCTAGCTTTTGGCTCGTATTTATTTTATATTTCGTTACAAAGATTCGCTTCCATTCCGTACCATTGCGCGGCGGTATAAATAGAGCCTAAGAGTAGCTACAAATATAGCCGATTCGGCAATATTTGTCGAACAACAAAGCTGACCCGAAGTAATATACTGCACTTGTTATTCGATTTTACCACCCGTCTGTGCCGATTAATGCCGGTCCGATTATGTGTGTAGCTAGGTAGTACCTTTAACGGTAGGTATAGTAACTAGTATTGGTTGACAAACTTCTGTTGGTCAGGGGGGAAGTGTACCACGAAGTCGCCGCTGTAGCTGGGCGAGGGGGAGGCGGGCGGGGAGGGCGACGCGGGGGGAGTGGGGGAGGGCGGGTCCAGAGACGCGCGCGACGCCGAGCTCAGGCTGCTCGAGCTGAGCTCCTCGGGCTCACCCTCAAACCGCCCGGGCTTCGACGTCACTGCAACAAAATTGTTGTCTCGTAAATGCATGCACGGCTGTATCCCTTTTGGTTCGATTACACTTGGTCGTAAGCCCGTATTCGGGTGCACGAAAGACATTACTGCAATTACAATAATACAAGCTGTAAGACGGTGTCGGGTAACCCAAACAAAAAATAACCCGGGCGTACTCGACTCCGTTCATTGATACTTAGCCGTTTATCCGTATTCTATTGGCACTAGTATTCGGGCTAACGATTAATTGTAATCGCGCCATTTATGACTACAACAGTGTATCTAAGTGCCCGTCCACATCTCGTCACGACGTCTTCAACGTGGAACGGTGCGCTACCCTTGCACGGTACGTTGACATAACGTGCAAACCTATGTCAACGCACCGAGCCGCGTTACCGCATTGTTCCATGTTGACGACGTCTTGACGTGGAAATGTGGACAGGCACTAACAGCCGTACTCAGAAACATGCTTCATTCAATGACGTGCTGTCCATTTCTATTGTTATCGCAAGAAGTGACAGCATCAGCTTCATCTGAATGCGGCAATAATTTATAGATATAGGCTATGGACTAAGCGACACTCACATGAAACTAACAACTCTCTAGAAGGAGAGAAAGAGATAGCCAATAGCTTCACGAACGATTGACCACACGTCCACTTCCCTCTTATTCACAGTTATCTGTCTAATTTTACTTCACAGTTGGGCGGCGCTTGCGTTACCACGCACGCGGGAACAGTACATTTATTATTTTTGTTTTATTTATTTCTCAATCTCTTTGGTATAAGAACAATATGAAGTAAACTGAATGGCGCGGGGTATCCTGATTGAACTGTATCAGTGCGTAGCTGCGCTCGCAGCTAAGTTAACAAATGCCTTAAAGTACGTACAGTACCTTAACACCTCATACCAGTGACAACAACACTTGTCTGTTTCGAAATCTCTTGACAACATTCCCATTGTATGTGATAGTCAAATAACAAATAAACGGTAAAAGGTTAATTAATATGACTACACCCTACTCAACCTACCTGATGTTAAATATAAATATTCTGGGTCCGAATGCGGTAGTAGCAAATCTAATATGGCTTAATAACCTCACCTCAACGCTTTAGGCCCTATTCCTATGCAGTGAACTTCTGGAAATTTACGCCCTTTAGTGACGTACTTTACGGCTGACTCTAAGTCAATTTTGCTGCTCTGGGCAAATGCCCGCCTTACTCCCCCTTGAATCGGCCCCTGAATTTACCCACTATAGTTCTATGATGTCGGATAATCTGGCTCATATTATGGGCGCCGCGCGGAGTCATAAGAGGCGTCGAAAAAATCTCCACCGACTAGGGTTGTATCTCTGGGCTGTCTTAACAAAATAATGTAGTTGGCTGCAGTCTTCATAAGATAGAGGAGTAGAGGTTGCTCATAATCATAACGTATAAACTTGATCTCTCACTGAATAGGTGCTTTATCCCGGTAGGACTTTTTAACTTGTGTGACAACAGAGGCAAAGCTTTTTAATGTGTAACATCTTTCCTCTTGCTTTCTTGGAGTGATTTCGTGAAATGGGACGGAAGCGTGCAACAGGAAGTCGCGAAAGCGCGCGCTGTTTGATTTGATTTTAGAACATAATGTTCAAATGGCTTATTCCTTTTGTAGTAGGTTTTATTTCTTTTTTTGCTTATATAAGGTGAGGTTTCAAAAGTTACACATCATACGCGACTACTATAATGCTCCATCGCTTTTTAATTTCTTATCTTTTTCTCTTCTTCGATAGTTAGATTAAAATAATGCCTTCTATATTCGACCACATTTATATCCAGCAGCATTTAGTTAAACGTTAATGTCTATCCCTAATGGTGCAATTTGAACTGCTTTCAACACTCCTTTCAGGTTCGCATTGGAAATATGTCAGAAACTTCAATTGAACTATAAATCAATGAGATATTGAAAGGTTCGTAATTTAATATTTTTATTTGAAGCATTTAACTATTACATTTATAAATGTAAAGAAAATTTTAATAAAAAACATAAGGTGGTGCATACGGTATAGGGGGAATGGAAAGAGCGCAATTATCACACATATATATATATAGCGACAGTGGAAAAGCAAAAACTTTTTTTATAGTAGCTTTAAATTTATTGACCAGAGCCGAGTGGATTTTTTCTAGTAAAATTTTCTTTATTTTGCAATTATTCAACCTATTTTCTAAATATACTTAGATATTGAATAATATACATACATAACACTAAGAGCATTTGTAGATGCGGGTAAATTACGTAATACATAACATCACTCAATAGTAATGTTTTCAGTCGAGTTAGATTAGCCCGAAAAAATTACAGATTGCCAGCTCATTTCCTTTAATAGACTTAATGAAGGTTTGTATTACGTTAATTACTGTATTAGATATTTCTGGACCGTATTAGATTTTCTATAATTAACTACAGAAATAATATTAAGTAAGAAACAAAATAAAGCTAAGGCATGCAAATACATGGGGTCTAGGCTCCGAATATGATTTTGTCCCATTCGGTGTCGAGACCCTTGGTCCGTGGGGTCCTAGCGCTGTAAGGCTTTTTAAGGAAATAGCAAAAAGGTTAGTCGACATCACAGGAGACCGAAGAGCTGGCACCTACTTCGGACAAAGAATTAGTCTAGCTATTCAAAGGGGGAACGCTGCCAGTATATTTGGAACCTTGCCTTTTAATAATGTATTTTATTTATTATATATTTTAAGGTTTTTAGTTACAAATATCTTCCTATTAATTAGGATTTTTACTGATGTTGGATACTTTAATAAATAATATAGAAACAAAATTCATAATATCCTACCGTGTTTCGTTAACAAGAAAAATACATATTATATGGGTAATAAATAAATCAAAATGCAAGAAATGGTTTTTGAATTCTCATTTTTTATTTTCTATATGATTTTAAACACTCCATAACAGTATCAACAAAACCATACTGAGACAAGGCAGCCGAATTTTAAATGAAAATTATGATACACGCGAATATCTATACATTAAATTCGATAGCATCGATTAGTTTTTTTATTATAATAGCCAAAGGCCTTTTGAAGACAGATCTTCATTTCTTTAGATAGTGATGAAACAAGATTCACTTTCCATGATCAAAATAGCAATATAATCCAAAGAAGAAAACATAATTAAGAAAAACATTCGAGAAACAATGAAAATAAATACATGTGGTTCGTTAAAACAACATCTATGTTCAAATTAAGCCATAACACGAAAGCCACTTCCCCTGTTTAAAAATACAATCGAAAACCTACTCAAAAATCTATTAAGTTACTGTACAAATTCATAAAATTTTGTATTCCGAAAGAGATCCATTTTTACACATCTACAAAATAAAAATATATTTAACACAGAACTAAATTGAATATGCTTGACAAATAAGATTTGTCGACAAGATACATTATACTGAAACAATGTTTTAAGTCAATAAATTCCTGTAAGAAAATGTAATTATAGTATTGGATTTTTCAATTTGATCAAATTAAAAAACAGTTTACTTTTTGTCAAACGAATCCAAATCAATTCAGTGAACTTGTATTAATTTCGGAAGAAGGGAAAGTGTGTATAGAATGTAATTGAAAGCAAAAAAATAACAATACAATTACAAGCTGGAGATAATTATAATGTTGTATCTAAAGGTGCTCCGACACATCAGTTATAATATTCCACAACATTCACTAGTTGGAAATAAAACAAATGAAGATTTTATCACTGCATTTAGGCTTGTATTACAGAATGACAACTAAGTGTTGACCTTTACTTAAGTACAGTTAGAAAGGCATGTCACTATGTATAGCAGCACATAGCGACATCCCTTTCTAACTGTACTCAAGTGATAAGTTGTCATTCTGTAATACGAACCTTAAGAGCCTTTACACTTTGCACTGCGGCGGCCAGCGGCATCATGCGTTACCGATCGTATCGAGCGTAAGGTCCCATATAATAATGTGAGCCACAGTAATGCACACTACGTCAACGCCGCGGTGTAATGTGCGAAGTCTAAAATGTGGCATATCACGATTAGTTCGAATCGCCTTATATACTTATAGCAGTAGCCCACTTCTCGTATTAAAAAATCATATGAATAAATCATACTATGCTAAAATCTAGTGTAACGTCACACCCCGATAGAACCATGTTTGTCAGTAGGTTGTAATCTGTGGTGAATAACTGACCATTCAGCAAATTTTGAAACTGAAATCAATCGCAAGGAGCCTCATTTTAGTATTAAGGAACCTTTAAAATTTCCGATACGAGTGAGTGAGGAAAATTAGGGGGCTAAACTGTCAGTTAGTCTGCTACAGAAAACGTAGCAGTATTAAAGAGGTTTTAAGAAATAACATTTAAAGAAGAAAAATATACCTTAATATCTGCATTAGCTACTGAATAACAACTATCCTGACAATTATTTCTTTCAATCTAAAAAATGTACTTAGGTTTATAAGAGATCAAAACACCTCAAACTAACTTTTCAGATAATTCCTTAAAGAATTTCAATTCAAACTATCAATTGCTTTATTGCTCTTAATTAATGTTTTACAGCTTTCGTTTAGTGCGAACTAACATTCTTTAGACCTTTTTGGTTCTCGTTACACAACATATATTAACAGTACAAATATAATTATTAACAATTATTGCAATCGTCACGGCGCTCCTGTTAAGTGACGCAAACCTTTTATAATTTTTATTAAAATTTTAGGCATTATTTATTATATTAGTCAACCGTGTCAATATATACATACATTTATATATATAAAAAACAACATTGCCATTAGTCGAACACCTAGTATTGATTTTCAGCTGTATTGCATTTTAGACTTTATGTTAATATTATTATGCTGCCATCGAACAACAAAACAAAATTCACTTATAAAACTAACATTTTATGCCGGAAATGTTATCGGGGAATAATAGATGTGCATATAATATAATCCTACAGACTTTGACTGTTATTCAAGATATATTAAATTATGATTCCCAATTTATTAAAATACCATCGTTAATTAACAGTGACAATTAAAAGCTCCAACACTAATCGGTGCATAGTTAGCGATCGAAATAAGTAAAAAAAATATGTACATTAATATTTTAATAAAAATAAAATTAGATGTATTTTATATTTCATTAAACATAATATAACTGACACCTTAACATCACTACAAAAAAGTTAATAAATATTATGCACCGAAATATTTTTTAAGTATAAATTACGTACAAAAAAATAAATATTTGTCATGATTTAACAAATTAAAGACTAAATCCAACTACAAAATAATACTCATTATTAAAACTTATTTAGATATTAATAATATTTGTACACAAGACAGCCGCAGTTTAGAAAAGGTATTATATACCGATACGTTTATATTTGAAACCTATATATTTTAAATAAGTAGTATTTTTCATAAACATAATACTGAAGTATCTATCGATTAACTTAATAGGGAATATCTAGGAATTTTCAATTTGATACTGGGATGGCTGGCAATATCAAAAAACACTCTTAAACGAATTTCAGAACAAGTAGATATATTAAGCAAACGTCATAATTAACGTCTCAACCCCTTTCCAGTCCTCTAATTATCTAACTTCAACTCCTATCACGATATTTTCTTATTTTATACTTTCATACATCAGCATTCGTCCTTTATTGTTATATTATTTAAATAATATACTGTCCGAATAATCGTGATTTGGCGTTTGTAAATATCTTTCAAAGGTCAAATTAAAAGGTATCGTCTTAGGAGTATAATTTTGACAATAATGTAAATTTTTTTTTTTCATTATATGTTGTAAAATAAGAGTGTATTACTGGGAAAGGTTGTCTACATTAACTTAATAAAACTATTTATAAAAAAAATCTAATTATGATTTTGATAACCCGAAATATGGTGCGTGTATTAGAGATTTTTTTAAACTTTCATGGTCAATAACTTTATGGCTTTTAACGGGATTGATACAATGTACAGTCATGGATAAAATCTTTCTATGGTCACAGTAAGTCACATACCAAAGACATGAAAAAAGTCTGAAACCTCATAAAACGTAAGAAATTGATTATCTTTACATTACTCTTATTTCTGCATAAATATACCAACCAACATACAAGCACAATGATGAAACGAAACAGAAAATAGTTTCGTTTGGACGAGATTCTATTGAGTCTGCAATAAACACGTAAACATTATTAATTGTAAATTAGCTAGCACGATCACATGTGAGGTAATGTTACATTATTTACTGGCCTTGTTATCGCGTCGGTTATGTCAAACGTCAACTTTTTTGGCCATTGAGGATATAGTCACTATAACTATTTGTCTATTTGTTTAGATACTTGAAAAGTATACAATATTTAGAGAGTACCCTTGTTATATTAAAAAAAAAACTAAAACCCGTAAACGTATTGAATGTGTAAATGTTTGGAAAATAAATTACCATTTTCATCAACACCAATGTTAAACTACGTTTAAATAGATTGTTTACTTTATAAGTACCTTAACAAATCGACGTTATAAACTTCAGCTAAAATGATAAGTACATACTAGAAAGAGAACATGATATAAAAACGGGTTAGATTTTTAATGGAGACAAGCCATTTAGCAAAATCAACATCTGATCAAGACTCTTGTACAAATTGTAATCGGTCCCTGGAGCAACAAGTTCACTTGATCCTTTATTGATTGAAATTATTAATTTGTGTACAACTACATATTATGAACTAAACAAAGAAAATTGCTCAAATTTTAAAAACATGAACTTATTTGAGTGTAGTAGAATTAACCTTTCTGTCTCCATAAAAATATAACCAATTTGTCTTTTTGTTGTTTTACTAAATTTTTATTTTTTTATTTTATTTTTACTTTTATTTTGACAGCAATACAATAAGTTTGTGACAAAATCAAATTATAAATTAATTATTCGCCTACGTATAATCATTGATTTGATTAGGCGTCAAACAATGTTTTGTTATTTATAATTGAACTTACAACTTTTTTGTCTTTTAATAGTGTATTTTTAATATTAAAAATTGCTTTACCTAACTAAACTACATTAATATAGCAGCAAATAATTTTATAGCTAATAATCACGGTTTTATAACAAATAACATCGCAGCACACAAAGTATTATAAAATATTCTGAACACATGTTTATTATTTCTTCTTTCTGCGCGACTTTTTTGCCTTGGCTGGTTGCTTCACGGATGGCAGGGCTATCTTAGAGACCTTTCTATCATCTTTATCACTATCGGTTGATATAACTGGCGACGTATTATCGTCATCTGAGGATTTCTCCATTATTTCAGTTTCCTGTTCGTTAGTCTTGAAGTCTTCGTCGATTTTAAGTTCTTGAGAAATAATTTTTTGATTTTCGATAACGCTGAATCCTTTTTCCTTCTTAGCAGGGACTTTTTCAAGTTCTATCAAATTAAATGTGCTAGATTCTATTGCTTTTGTAGTAGTTTCTTTCAAAGACGAAAGTATATCGTCTATGTTGATTTTACAAATAGGGCTTGTTAGTTTTGTTTCGTTTACTTCTAACAGGCTATCTCTCATGACTTCCAATTTAAAGTCATCCAAACCAAAATCTAGAGGTTCTAAGGGTGGTAGCTCATGTAGGACCGAATGGTGCTCCTCCACGAAATTAAGCTCCGAAGGAACGTCGCATTCAGCCACCACAATATCTCTTCTCTTACACAACTCATACAACTTTTCGTGTAATGATATCCCTTTGGAAGACTCGACTAAACCGCTAGCCACATCACTATATTCACATACTTTATCACACATTTCTACAGTTTTATTTTCTACCTCTACATTCTTTTCAACATCATGCACGTATGGTTTATCTTCTACTTTTTTGACAAATTTTGATGCTGCTACTGAACTCCATGACTTTACCGATTTTTCTACATGCGATTGTTTTTCTGATCCTTTATTCTCCGGGATTTGAGGCGACTTCTTACGTGATTTACTACCTCTGGTAATTTGGATTTCAGGAAAATCTTCTGTCGTGGAATCAATAACGTAGACATCTTTTACATCAGTGTCCGCAAAATTGTCCACTGCCTTGCGACTATCTAAATAGGGGGATAATGATTTACTTTTACGTGTTGTCAATGGTTCTACATTTATATTTGAATTTTCCCTTTTTACTTCTATAGATTGTGTTATAACTAGAGTATTGGATTTAATTTTCGATTTTCCATCTTCTGTACATTTTGCATCATCTGTTTGAGATAAACCATCGATGTCAGCCACTTTCCTCTCCACGTTACAAGTCACATCTAATGCGTCCTTAACATTAATTTCATCTGCATTTTGCTCCACCTCATACATTTTCTCAGGCGTTAGACTTTTAGACGACCGCCACTTTTTAGTTTTGGCCACATAAGAACTACACGTATTTACATCTTCAAACGGCGACGAAATTGATACCAAATCATCACATGGAGGTTGCTGTTTATCTTCTATCGCGTGAATTTCTACGAAACTATTTTCATCCGATTTTGCTTGGGCTTCCTCCAATATTTTTTTAACTTTGCGATTCCTTTTAGTCTTTGGCTTTGACTCTTCAGATTTATCACTAATAATCGACGTTGGGCTTGCACTTTTATCGGGTTCATTCAACAGCATATCCCAGGCTTGGTCTTCAGTTTTGATATCGGTCTCTGGATACTTTAGAGATTTTTTAGTAATGGAAGAAGCCATTTTAGGTTCAATTACAACTGTATTCTGCATTTCGGTAACCTGCACATAAGGAGTAGATCTTTCTTGTGATGCCTCCCGGAGTTCTGCCGCTAAAGATGTGCATACATCTTCCGTAATATGTTCCACTTTTTCGGTTTTTTTGATAGTAGAAGCATTTTTTTCTAAGGTTTTGTCAACTTTCTTTTCTGTTTGAGGCGTAGAAGATAAAACTTCGGTCGTAAATAAAACTGTCAGTTTAGTTTCTTCAAGGTACGGTGAAGATTCCTTTGAACGTTTTTTAGATGACGTTGCTGATTTTCGCACACCAGATTTTCCCTCTTTTTTGTCTGTGCCTTTAAGAGTCGACGATTTACTCTCTAGCGGCACGTTCGAAAAGGTTTCCGTTTGAGAAGTATAAGGTAAAATTTCTGATAAAGTTTCAATTGCTCTGTTTGATTCCTCACAAAACGGCGAAGACTCCTTTGAATTCCTTTTGGAAGGCAGGATTTTATTTACACCAGATTTACTGTCTTTAGTGCCTGTACTTTGAGTTGTTAGAGAATCGATAGTCTGTTCGACTCTTTTCTCTGATGCTGATTTAGAAAGCAAATCGGTCAGTGCATCAGCGGGAGATATACTATCTTTAGTGCCCATAGTTTGAATAGTAGGGACACTAATAGTCGACTCTTCTCGTTTTACCAAAGTCGATTTAGAAAGCAAATCGGTCGGTACATCGGTAGCCTGTATTGCATCATCTAAACGAGTTTCAGAATGAGCCGCTTTTTCACGTTTACCAGAGCTACTCTCCTTATTATTGGTGCTTTTTATCGACGAAGAGCCCTTCTTATCTTGCAACTTTTTAGAAACGTTTTCCGTAGAAGGCACACTATCCATCAAAACTTTAACATTATCTTTATCAGCGTCGCTACGGTTCTTCGAAGACTTACCTTGGCGCTTCGAATGCACAGAATACGATCCCTCACTCTTCGGCTCTACAATTTCGCTACCTACTCGCTCAGAAATGGAGCTCCTATTGCTAGATAAGTTTTCAGTCACACAAACATCGGCGGGAACTCGTTTATCACTCACTCTCTCACCGACCCCGTCGTCGAGCGGGGCCACGTCACGCTCTTTCTCACACTCGCTAACCTTACAACTATCGTCGCCGGACACGGCTCCGTGCGACGTTCCGGTGGGACACTCGTCTAGGGGGGCCGCCTGCATATCAGGCGGGTGTAGCGTTGGCAGTGTTCGTACTGTGTCGGGGTCGGGGTCGTCGTCAGGGCAGACGCCGAGGGCGGCCGGGATGAGGCGGAAAGCGTCGAGGGGCAGCGGGCTGGGGTGGGGCAGAGGTGCCGGGGCGGGCGGCAGCGGCTGCACGGGGATGGTGGTGGTGCGGGGCAGCGGGCGCAGCAGCAGCGCGGCGGGCGGCAGCGAGGCGGGCGCGCGCACCACGGGCCGGAACGTGGCCTCGTCGCGGTTCTCGCGCGTGTAGTCGTCGGCGTCAAGCGGCGGCGGCGGCGGCCCGGGGTCGCGGGTCTGCACCACGCACCCGAGCGGGTCGACGGCGCGGGCCAACACCCCCGCGTTGTCTGCGCCACGCCGCTGCTCCCGCCACCCTATACGAAACCGAAGGCTACCGTTATTCTGTCTCTCTCTTTTTCTCTTTCGTCTGTCAAGTGGGGGCGAGCGCGCGATGGGTGCCTTCGGCTTCTGTATAGGTGGGGCGGTCACCTACCCTCCGAAAACCCTCACGATGCATCTTCGCTCTTGCGCGCTCGCCTCACGATAGCGCGTTGTCACTCCCGTATCGAAACGGTCGCGTCACCATTCGAATATGCGAATCGAAGATTCGATCGATCAAAACTATGTCGAATATATGAATTATTTGAATTCCAAGAATTTATTAATTTCATTGTGTTATTTATAAGCCATAATATATACAAAATTTATTATAAAATGGTGTCTTGTACAATTAGCATGCATAATTTTAAAAGTTTCTGACCGATCTAATCTACAAATTGAGAATATAAAAATTCTTTTCCAATATTTCGTTAAGTTGAAGTTTTTTTTATGAAATAAAGCCCATTATGAAACGTAAATCCCGTTTACACAACAAATGCAAAATAAACAAAACCTACAAAAATTATTTATCCTATGAATTATATTATACGGTGAATTTGACCCTTAAAGATTTTAATATTAAATTAAAAATCTATAGAGAAAATGTTAAGGGCTACATAATTTGTAGTTTATTAACAAAATCATCAAATACGATATAAAGCAATAAATAAAACCAGAAACTATGTGTGATATCCACTTTTAATTCAAGCGATAAATCGTAAATTGCCAATTGAGAAACAATAGGATTGTACAAATTTTGAGAAACCATGAAACAATAGTTTCGATGCACAGGTTGGAGCAAGTAAAAGAACGTCACATCGTATCAACGATATTAAATACCCTAGATACACCAAAACGAACAAAATCATGCCCGAAACCTGTCCACAAGGTAGATTGGACGATCCATGGAGCTCCGTAAGATGATCGCGTAGTCTAAACAATATAAGGCATTATTTAAACATTGAAAATCACCTTTAAAGTATAATGTATAAGGTCTTAATTAAAACGCACGCCTCATGACATATGAGTTATGACAGTCCGATATGTAAGCTCGTAAAATTTTACGACTTATTGCTATAAACAGAAGAATAAAGACCTTATTTCTTTGACTGTACGTACAATTCTGAATGCGCTGTTAGTAAAATAGCAGGTACAGTCCGCGAGAAAAAAAGAGACGGCTATATTATCGACCATGCATTTGAATATCACATATATTTTCTATTAAGTCAGATTATAGTAAGTATTAAAACAAAATTTACTTCAAATGCGTTAAATTTATAAACATTGATTAGATTACCTGCCGAAAAAACATTTTACATTCTTTATGTATTTCTTTCGCCTGTTTTCACGGAGCTCAGCGGCATGTTGACTTTTCAACGGTCCGCGCGTGACCGTGAATCAAGAAGTGCTTGAGTCGTGTTCAAGGGACACATTTTGAGCGCACGTGGTGTATCTAGGGTATTTAATATCGTTGACGTACTGTGTGCCATGCGTATGCTACTTTTTAAATTCCAAGTTGTGAAGTTCTTTCAACGATATTTAATACCCTAGATACAACAACACGAACAAAAACGTGGCTGAAACCTGTCCAAAAGGTACGGTCCACGGAACTCCGTGGAATGATCACGTTGTCAAAAACGATATAATGTATTATTTAAACATTCAAAGTCAACTTTAATGCAAAGCATATAAGATTTTAATTTAAACGCATGCGTCAAACAGTAACGATTGTGAGAAATGCAAGCTCGTAAAAATTTACGACTTGTTGATATACGCGGAAGAATATAGACTTTATGTATTTGATTCTGCGCGTAATTCTAAATGTGCTGTTAGCAATATAGCAGGCACAGCGCGCGAGTTAAAGAGACGTCTATACGACCATGGTCGGCATTTGAATATCACAAATATTTTCTATTAAATAAGTTCATAGTAGGTATTAAAACTAAATTTTCTTCAAATGTTTTAATAAACAAAGGTTGAATAGGTGCCTGTCGAAAAAACGACGATCTACCTACTATATATACTTTTCGGTTTCAAAGGTCCGCGCGTGACTGTGAACCAAGAAGTGCTTAAGAGGTATTCAAGTACTTCTTGATTGGGACACATTTTGAGCGCTCGTGGTATATTTAGGGTTTTTAATATCGTTGAGTTCTTTACTTTCTCTCAATTGTGTACTGTAATGAAGTGTAAGTGACAAGTTAAATATGATTTGTCGTAACTTCAAAGTAGAATAATTTACATTCAAAAATAGCATTAACATTCACAATAATTGGAAAAGTCAAGGTAGTAAGGAGACAATGAGACCATTCCAATTGAATATCACAGATTTAGCCAATTATTAAAGAACTTACATTTTAATTACAAATTGTGTAATTTTTCACACATTATTTTTAATATTATTTCATTGACTATGGCCTTGTGTTAGTTTCGATAATTTTTCATACAATTTAAGGCATATTTAATTATACCCGTTTCATTTTATTGTTGTTATAGAGAGTTGAATGAACGGCTGCTGTAATCAGTTTTTATGATATGAATTTTGAGTGATATTATATATATTATGTATGTATGATTGTAAAATAGTAGATTATGATGGCTTAAACGACTGCATAAATGAGTTTTTTAAGTTATGTCCAAATAAAGATCTATTGAAAACGATACTACAAAGTATCAGTTATATGTTCAAAATGCAAATATAACATTGCATAGCGTACTATTTGCTAAAACTACAAATCAGTTTAAGTAGTGCAGGCACTTCGCGTGGCTATTCGTATTTGCTATTTGTAAACTTGACAACAATATCTCCTTTTCATTTCCTAAAAAATATGATAAGGACAACCTGCTGTTAAAATGACAAACAGAAAAATACGAATAGCCATGGAAAGTGCTAGCATACGAAAGAAAAAATCATTAAATAAATTTATAAAAACTTCCTATGTAGCTATATTACCTATATCCATTTAGTCCAAGCAATAGAGTAAAGCCAAATAACAAAATTTTACCACACTCTAGTTTTTTTACAGATGTTAGGGTAGGTCATAAGAAGAAGCATATGTTTAAAAATCGGGGAATGTGGGGTGGTCGCTACTGGCCGCCATATTTGAAAACGCGTTTATCGCTATATCTCCGCAATTATTGACTTTACGGATAAAATTGTAGAGTGCTTTTTTGTTTATTACTAAATTCCCTAACTTTTTTTTAACTCTTACCGTTTTTCAATTATTGTTTTTATTTTAACATATTTGTAATTATTAAAAATGCCATTAATTGATAAAAAACGTCTTATAAAAGTTATTGGTCATTAAATTCCCTGCATCTTCTGCATTAGATTTTTTTTACTTTTTAAGTTATGAGTCGTTAACGTAGTAATGACGTAGTATCTCAGAGTTTTGTATACGTGCAATTGACAATCACTTTTACAATACGTTTTTTATCAATTAAAAAAGTTTTATAAAGGAAAATCTACAAAAATATTAAAATAAACAACAATAATTAAAAAACGGTTAGTTTCAATAAACAGTTGTTGGCGTAAAAGTTAGGGAATTTAATAATAAACAAAAAAGCACTCTACAATTTTTAATTTCGGAGATTTAGCGATAAACGCTTTTTCTAATGTGGCGGTCTGATGTGACCACCCTACATTCCCCGATTTTTAAACTTAAGCTGCTTATGACCGAACTTAACATCTGTAAAAAAAACTAGTGTGTGGTAAAATTTTGCATTACGATCAAGTATAACCGCGATCTCTGTTTCTTGGGCTAACTCTATTTTTACGATCCTTAAGAAATTATCTAAGACCTGTAAAATCGACCCTTAATAAAATAAAAAAATAATACTAGTCTTTATTCAAATCAATAGCGTAACTTTTCAAACTTATTCTTTAATAGCTACCTACCTACTAAAACTTGAACAAAGACGGGTGAGTCTCACTATTCCCATTGAGCTTTCCCATTGACGATAAAAGCGATTCTACTTTTTCCACTGTTTCCGTTGCGTTTTTATACCGCGACTATTCACAACTAAGAAGAGGCTTGTTTATTTCAATAATTCTCGACTCGATGTTATTACCTCTTTATATTGTTTTTGATATCTATTGACATTTTATATGTGTCGTAGTGACTAGAACTATAATTTTAAATTATTTTATTAGATTTGTGAAATTATAGAAATATATAACATAGACAAAAACTCACCGTGATCCTCCTTCATGGCCTCGGCGAGGTCTTCCTTCAGTTGCACGTCGCAGAGGGAGGCGGCGCGACCGCTCTCGGACAACAGTGACTTGCGCCGAAAACTGTCCGAAGGCGAATGCTCCAAGGAACCTATGATAATAATAAATCATTTATTCCCAGAAATTTTACAATATGCTTCTACAAATATAAGACACAAGATGCTTCAAAGGTAAGGTAGTAATCTGTGAGTACTTGAAATATCTATACGATTGAAAAGTTTTATAATAGGCCTTTGATTCTGTGAACTCTTTTTAATTTTGGGCAATATTTACGAAATTTATACAATCTTATAGAACAAAAGGCACAAGATGCTTTAAAGCTAAGCTAATCAGTGGGTACCTGAAATACGATTAAAATTTTTATAACAGGCGTTTGAGTATGTGATTTTTTATTTTATTTTAAGCAATAAGTAAGTAAGGTATGAATGAACTTTTCAAAATGGAAATTTATTTACATAAAGAAGGGAAGTAAAAAAGTAACTTCAAGGAGTGCCACAGGGAAACTTATTGGGTCCAAAACTTTTCTCAAAGGAGAACACGTATTGACGTACAGCCCCCTTTTGTGAATGTTTTGGTATCATTTTTGCACAGTTTTTTACTGTATTTTTTAGCATTATTTTCCAGTAAGTATTATATTTTTAAAAGTTGGGACTAAAGAAAATTCCTAAAGTGAAATCCTTATACAAAAACTGGTAACGAAATGCATTTTTAATGAGCAGAAACTAAACGCGAAACCAGAAACTACTATCAGACTTGCCATGCGTAAAAATATCGAATAATCGATTTTGAATTCCATACTCGCATAGCTAATACGTGTTAATTTATTTTAAAGTACTAGATTTTAACTGTGTGGTTGCACATGGGTTGCAAAAATGGCACAATTACACATTCGCGTAGGGTTTCTAGTGTATTACATTTCTCTATGGCGTAGGGCTAGGCGAAAAACGAGCTCGCACGTGTAGATACACGTGCGGGCTTGTTTTACTTGTGTTACTATCTAGTAACCTCGCTTTTTTCCTCTCAAATGTGCGCTCATACTGTGAGCGGCAAGTCGGACGCGATTCAAACGGAACCCTCGGCATCTTACTCCTTACAGTGTGGAAAATGTACTCTATGGTCATGTCCGAGTGTCCAAAATCCAAATGAAGACCGCCGCGCTGATGTGTGAACAATTCACCGACACGAATGTTTCTTTGAGACGAGTGATTCGCGCGAGTAGCGAGACGAAAACCTAGTACGAATGTGTGATCGCGGTATTAGAGCATTAAATATAATCACACGTTTTCATAAAAAAGGACATAAGGTTGATCATATTTGTGGCCTCGCGATTTCTCGATTTTTTTATCTTGTAAAATAATGAATGACATATATTTGCAACACTGTCATGTCAATGTCAACGTATCAATATAAACAATAATGGCGTCCGTTTCTGTTTGTGGTTAGTGCTTGTGGATATCTTAGAGTTCTCGTCTTGGCATTTTCGTTTGTACTTGTACGACCATAAGTTTCTTCCGTTGATACGTTGAGTTAGAGACGCGGTTTCAATTATTCAATTGTGAATGTTATTAGGTATTTTGTGAAAGGACGTTTTTTAAGTGTTATTGAACACAAACAATCTGTGCTGTGCTTGCGCAGTTTAGGTACTTTTCGTGTTATCTTGATAGTTTGGCTGGCTCACTTAGTGACACATACATGATGATACAATCACAATGTCGAGTGTTCATTGTTTAATTGCAACGTTTGATTGGATTGCATCAGGCGGCACTTACTGATGAACGAGAGTGAAGCCTTAGTCGACTCTATTCGCTGTTGGACCTATCCCAGAGAGGTAAGTCGTACCTACGTAGTAATTATCGAACCATAAGTTGTAAACGCCTCTAATGCCGACCACCGGTTCAACTAAATTGATTCATTTTCATCCTGAATGGTGCAGCTATTCAAGCAATGACATTACTAAAACTACATGGCTGCGATATTAGAATGAACAAGTATAGTTTTATCTCATTTTTTTATTATTCAAGCTTTTGTTTTTTATATTTACTGCAATGGTTTATGCCAGACTGTATAAGAAACTAGTTTGGTCAGTTAATACACTACATACTCTTACTGTTTCAGATAACACCTTCTGTTCATAATGTCATGCTTGCTGGGAATTAGGAACCCATTCGTCGTCATTTTAAAGTACAACTTCAAGGCATGATGGCCATCGCTAAGTGTGTGTTGTATGTGGACGCTCAATATTAAGAATGAGTAGATGTAGAATTGTTATTAAAGAGCCAAATGAGCAGGAACAAAGGATGACTGACATAATCACTGATTGGATTCAACCGTGAGAGATAACCTTACACTATGTTTATCTTCTTTCTTATTTATCTTAAAAAAGTGCTGGATTTATTCACATATTAAGTACTGTCATTAATACATATAGAAGATTTTGTAATATAATTGCAATTGTTTATTTTAGCTTTCTTTAGAGGATGAAGCTTGTATTTCTTGTTGGCTTTGAGCACAAAGAGCTTTTCAGTCTTCAGTGGGCAGCCAAAGCTACTAGAAATGGTCCAGCCTGAAATATACCAGATGATGGCCAGCATGAACTATAAAGAACATCTTGTCTATGTAGCAACATATTTGAATTTTCAAATGAAAGGCTATCTACATCAAATGAAAATGAAAGGCAGAGATTGGAAATAATATCCGAGTTGATGAAGTACCTGAAGTAAAAGTAGGCTCTGTACTAAAAAGTCTTCTGCATTGCTACATTGCTTATTTAATGAAATGTATACATAAATAAAAAAAAAACAATGCTAAGGTCCAATATGTAATTTGATTTCATTGAATAGAAAAGCAAGGTACTATACTTGTCACATTATAACATTTATGTCAATCTTTACAGGTGCCCTCAATTACTGAAGTTTGCTCTTCATGTTGGGAAAGAGCACAAGGAATATTAAACTCCAGAATGACCGTTACTGAACCTCAGTAAATCTCATTACTGAATATATGGAGAGCAGAGCTGAAACACTGGGCCACTGTTTTTTCTGCCGTTGTACTGGCTCCAAATGCCATAAAGTACCTGAAGAAACAAGACGTCACCTTCTACTTCAATATTATTATTATATCGATCATTACATCATTATAAAAAATATATTCTTTAACAAATCAAACAATTGTTTTATAAAAACCTGGTATTTGTTAACATAATTTCTATGGTATGGTGTGTCCAATTCATTACTTGTGTCTGTATACACTTAAAGAAAGTGGTATACAATCTGAGCAGTATTAGATTGGGTTAGGAGATGATAGTAAGATATTTCAAGCAGTGTTGATAGTAGTCATCATTATAGAATAGATATATATAAGAGTCATTTGTCAGACCAATCTATAAAATAAAAAAGATACATTACACTAATGTATCTTATTCTTATTATTATATTCACTAAGAGTTACTAGAGGTATATCTGTAATCAACAGTTTTCAAAGGTGGAAATGATGATCAACGAGCTATTATCTGATCCAGTACTGCTTTATTATAACGTCACTTAAACACTTGTCCTGAAAAGCATCAACGGATATGCAATTTTCACTTAGTTACAGTAAATGGCAAAAATATTCGTGAATAGGCCTACAGATATCATGTATCATGGCATCTGAACACCATATAAAGTGAGGGGCGTATTTAACAATTAGGTTAGTAACGAATGCCTTTGCATGGTTCCCGCCGCACCGGCCCATGGCCCTCTCGGCCCTATGGTCTAAGAGCTGGCTACGAAAATGTGAACTGATAAGGTGCAGTAACGAATTATATACAGGGTGGAAATTTTGAATGCCACCCCCAGGGGAAGTACTCTAAATACTGGAGATATATAATTTTACTCAAAGGAAACATTCCTTTATTTTTAAAAAGAAACACAACTGCATTCAAAGTTTTTCGAAAATTTACTTGCCACACACGGGAATCGAACTGGCAATAATTCAAAATAAAGACACCCTGTATTTTAATGGCATCGATCGATAGATTATTTATTATGGTAAATTTTGATGCAGCAAACAAGACTTAGGACAATGCGTTCTAATTCGCTATTCCATTTTCAAAAATATGTCACATACCTCTTTGCGTACCTCTTTTAAATTACTGGCACCAAAGAGGTTGTACGGCGCCCCCCCTGAGACTGGTACCTTACTGGACTGACTCTTTAGTCTGCATTTTAGACATGTGCAAAAAATTCTTTATTCGTTATTTGAATGAATAAATGACGTCGAAGATAATAAAAATACTAACTCGTGTAATCTAGTGGGATATAACTGCTTTTAGTCTTGTTCCATTCAGTTAAGTTAAGATTTCACGCTTTCCTTCCATTTAATGTACTAAATTAGTTAGTAAGGTATGATCCCTATGATTGATCCTATCGATCGATGCCATAAAAATACAGGTGTATTTTTTTCGAATTTTCGCTCGTTCGATTCCCGGGTGTGGCAAGCAAATTTTCGAAAAACAGTGAATGCAGTTCTGTTTCTTTTTAAAAATAAAGGAATGTTTCCTGTGAGTAAATTTATCTATCTCCAGTATTTAGAGTACTTCCCCTGGGGGTGGCATTAAAAATTTCCACCCTGTATATAACCTCTCCTTGGTAGCCTATAAGTACAGAGCGAGGCCCGTCAGAACTCTCTCCCGGGGCGGAAGGCATGGGTGGGCGGTCAAAGTCGTAAATTTTCAATAAGAAAAAAATGATAAGGTGCAGTTCTGAAATTTGGTAGAGTTATAATTTTTAACTGTAGGAATCTAGGAAAATTGTTGTCAGGAGTCTAGGTTGGGGCTTAAAGACTGTCAGAAGTCGACAAAGTTGTAAAGAAATTGTTTAAATTTAAACCACAAGGTGCAGTTCTGACAAATGCATTTTCATATTATTTGTAGCTTATCGAACCTGTATATAAATTGTCAGAAGTCTTAATAATGGCTAAGTACATAAAAATTGATGATATAGTCAGAAGTTGCCGAAGGGGCTATCGGGGGACGGAAAGCAAAGTTTCGAATCTAGTTTTGAGTTAAAATTTTTATATTATTTATTAAGAGCATTTTTATATTATTTATAGCTTACCAAACCTGTACATATATTGTCAGAAGGATAAATAATGGCTAAGTACAGAAAAAAATATGATACGTCAGCAATTTAAAAGGGCGACATTGCAAACGTATGGAGAAATGCACACCACCGCGTTCCAACGGATCTGGAGCCTAAAAATTGCGGCTGAGTAGAGCAAGGATCAATGTATGAACTTATGGTTTGAGGGCCCTCAAATACCTTTAACAGTCAACGATGTTATACGACAAAATGAAAACGTAAATAGTATTAAAAATTGTATTTTCAATTTGTTAGATTTTTATTTTATTTACTTTTTTTACTTGTTAAAAAACAAGATTTAGATATGTAATTAAATAATTAGAATTCCTTTATATAAATATACTTACCTTTTACTCCGTCTACTTTTGACTTTCTAATAATGACAAAATTTTAAATTAAAAAAAAAACAAATGGCCAAATTTTCATAAAATTATCTGAAATAAAAAAATGGATTTTATGCTTCAGTAACTTCTTATCATAGAGTAGTTAGGGCTTTCATCCGGGAGTCTCGGTCTTGAAAATTCCGAGAGTCTCGACGATTTTGTCGCATTTTCGAGACTCGAGACCTCAACTCCAGTATTCGATACTTTCGAGACTTAGTTAAATAATCTACAAAAAATATCAATCTACTAAACTACCTATTTTTTTAAATGAGTTACGTGGCAACACTGTAAAGTGAAAGTTAGGACAATCTGTAGAGATTGCAACCTAACCTCAAACACAATACGTTCACAACTTCACTTATTGTTTCTTTATAAAAAGTGTGAATTATATAGCTACGATGAGTTCCTTAGCACAACAGTTGGTGGCGACAGAGGAAAGCATTTAAATCAGTGCTATAATTATTTGTTATCCATCCTCCCTACTAGCGTCGAAGCAGAGAGAGCTTTTTCTAATGCAAGTTACTTTTGCAACAAGATCAGATCCTCTCTATCTGAATTTCACTTATATTTGATTATATTGTAATAGTTGATTATTAAAGAACTTAATTGAAACATATTGTATTAATTGCCTAATTGTATAAACCTTGAGTATGAAACTTATTTTCAAAGTCTGGAAAGGCTCGTTTTTCCCGGGAATCCCGGGACCGGTCCGAGTCTCGATTTTTTTCCCCGGGACTTGAAAATGTATCGAGACTGAAAGCCTTAGTACCTGTAAACTCTCGGCAAAACTTCTCCATTTCTTTTACTTTATATAATTTTTTTGAGTAAAAATTATTTTTTAAAGTCTGTCGTCTAAGTCAGCGATTACTCGGCAACACAATTTTATATTTATTTTTTATCTCCCTCGATTAACCTTTTGTCATTGCATATTTATTAAAATATCAGTGTAAATAATAGAAATAATAAATAGCCGAAACTGCACCCTGTTATTTAATTTTGAATCTAAATTCGAAACGTTCCTTTTCAACGCGATAGCCGCTTCAGCAACTTCTGGCCATATCATATTTTTTTCTGTACTTAGCCATTATTTATCCTTCTGACAATATATGTACAGGTTTGGTAAGCTATAAATAATATAAAAATGCTCTTAATAAATAATATAAAAATTTTAACTCAAAACTAGATTCGAAACTTTGCTTTCCGTCCCCCGATAGCCCCTTCGGCAACTTCTGACTATATCATCAATTTTTATGTACTTAGCCATTATTAAGACTTCTGACAATTTATATACAGGTTCGATAAGCTACAAATAATATGAAAATGCATTTGTCAGAACTGCACCTTGTGGTTTAAATTTAAACAATTTCTTTACAACTTTGTCGACTTCTGACAGTCTTTAAGCCCCAACCCAGACTTCTGACAACAATTTTCCTAGATTCCTACAGTTAAAAATTATAACTCTACCAAATTTCAGAACTGCACCTAATCATTTTTTTCTTATTGAAAATTTACGACTTTGACCGCCCACCCACGCCTTCCGCCCCGGGAGAGAGTTCTGACGGGCCTCGCTCTGTACTTATAGGCTACCAAGGAGAGGATATATATATAATTCGTTACTGCACCTTAACAGTTCAAATTTTCGTAGCCAGCTCTCCGACTACTAGGGTAAATATATCCGCCTACCTATGATAACTAGTCTAAGCTTATTCGTCGTCTATTAATGAGGGGGTTAGTGTTTTTAATATTAAAGCACAAACACGTCTTAATAATTATCGTAGTTACAAATAATTATTTCTTTATAGTCAATACGACGACATAGCAATACAGTAAAATGCAATTAATTAATTCGATTTTTAAAAACGAAGAAATGTACAATTTGTTTACGTAATAATAAATGTGACTGTCAGTCAACTGTCACTGTCAGTCAACTGTTACTGTCAGTCAAATACAAACAAAATCAACCAAAAACATGATTTGAAATACAATTATAACTTTTAAATCCCAACATTTAAAATTCTGTTAATTTATGTCGTAATTTCCAATAATATTATCTACCAAATGTGTAAATCTCATTGCCAAACATGACAGTTGTGTACCTGTACAAAACTCCCATAGTACTCTGCCATTCTCCTTTCTAGCAAAGTTTTTGGAAGTCTTTTATATTATAATAATTTGGTAAATATTTAGCAGTTATTAAATTACCATTCGAATAATGAAATTACTTACTTTTTTATTAATTTAAATAGGTAGCGAATAAGCACATGGCCCTCGTGGTGGAAAGCGTACCTGGTATCGCAAGCGTCTGCTTGCAATATCAAAACTATCACTCGCCGTTGCCTAGCCTAACCCAATCCTTTAGCCCATTACTTCTTTAACTATACTAATAATGTTGCTAAATAATATTTTATCATCGTTGATTTAAAACGAGTTCTTTAAAGTATTCAATCTACTTTGTACTAATTATTTATAGTTTCTAACTGACAGAGCCCGAGTTTATGAGACGACTCCACGGGCCGCGCTCGTATCCACTTCCACAATTTCAGCCCCAGACAATATTATACTTACTGGCAGAGCCCGAGTCTATGAGCACGGGCACTATGGGCCGCACGCCGGGCATATTGACGGGGTTAGAGCGGGCCACTCCACGGGCCGCGCTCGTATCTACTTCCACAGTTTCAGCCTCCGACAATGACGAGCTTGACCTGGACCAAAATAGATATAGTCAATACAAAGAAGTAGAAAGTACTCAAGGACGAAGAAATTACATTAATATAGAGTGTTTCAATAGGAACCGGGTACATTTGAATGCAAATAAAAAGAAATTGATTGGTTACAATTAGATTAAATTTTCTGTTTTGCAAGCTTATTCTTTGGCAGTGTGCGTAGAATACCGCATTGCTTAATTCAGGTGAATACGAAAGGTCAAAGGAAATCATCCACGTTCCATACATTTTTGGGCCAAATCTGAAAGTGCCGGACAGAAAAAAAAATCGTAATATTCGGATAGATCACAAAATTCCTATTATTTTTTACTATGACACCAAACCTGTGCGCCCTATGGTTATGTTGTTACATGGTTTTAAAATACAATGTGAAATAAAATGTTGTTAAGATGTGTTGTTTTAATACATTTGGTCAAGTATATTAAATATGAAAAAAACAAGCAACAATACCACCAGCTCCTCATTTAGATTCAGTACCTTTCATAAAGAGCAAAATGAAACAACATTCAATTAGTATTAATATTAATTATTAGTATTCATTTATATTTGTCCTAATCTAACATAAACATCATCTAATGCTATTGCAGGTGGGGTGAGGTATGGGTCATGTCTAGCATAACCCATGTACCAGACTATGGTCATCGTATGAGAGCAGCATCCAATGGTCCTCTTGCCGATATTGCATGTACAATAATAATGAGCTAATGTTCGACGACCATTTGCTGCCCGATCGAGTGCAATATATACGTAGTATTTTTTTGCTTGAATGTGGCGGGATTGTATGCGTCCTCTTATAATCCACAATTCTTCCCCTTCAAGTTCCCTGACTATTTCCAGAGGAATCCCACTACCGAGCTCGATGATAAAAGCTCCGTCGGATTGAAGGTGCTCTCCGTAATAGCTTTTTGCTTGTTTGAGCTGATATACACCAAGGCTGAATAATATTAAATCTTCTTCTGTCAATGTTGGAAAATCATTGAAATCTGCCATATCCGCAGCCATGGGTTGGAACTGTGCTCGCCTTCGGTTTAAATTGTGTCTATTCACAAGATCTCCCAGTGTATTGGGCATGTTTATTCTTTCACCTATATTTGAAGGATATCAGTAGCATGAACGTTATCCACTATCAAAACGTGATAGGCATTTATTAATGCGGCAGCAATTCTTAAATAATCCATCATATTGTGCAGTGTTATATTGATATGGACATGTCTTAGCAGCCGAAAATCTCTTTTAAATCGGCCATTTACGACTTCCACGACCCATCGGCAAATAGTAACAAGTCGCGACTTATTAGCTTGTTCTGTTGTAAGTTGCGTTTCCCCAGGAAGCTTAGTCTCTGGCATCTTAGCGGTGTATCCATATCCTTCAAGGGTGGAATTTGTATCTCTGAAGCCACGGTCCAAAATAAAAACGTCCCCATTTCGATAAAACCATTGAAATAATCCGTCGCCATGTTCATTTTCATTTTGTACAATATTAAGCATTATTTGCGCATCTGAAGAAGTAGCAGCGTGTGGACCAGAAACTTCTATGATGTGCCCGTCACAACAGACAAACAGAAACGGCTTTAGTAAGTTTCTGAACTTGTGGCTGCTATGGGATTTCCTTTGAAAAAAGTAGTTTGAACTCTTTTGAATATATATGTAAGTGCCATCTACAATTGTTATGGCATTCTTTCGTCGGTAGGACTCTCCGGGTTTCCAAAAATTCTTTCAGGAATCATAAGGTTCCTCCGTACTACATCTTCCCGGGTCATATGGTCAAAGCCTAAGTGAATAGGAACAAAGTCCTGCAGTAGTGCTTCTCTGCCAGTATGGAGCATTCGCGAGTAAGTGGCTTCGCTGGTTTTAAAAATCGATGCTAGCCGTGCATTTGATTCGCCGGTTCGGAGTTTTGCTAACAAAGCTGCTAGAATAGTTCTTTTGTTTCTTCTTTGATTTAGGCTAGGTGTGCTGGCTAATAAGTCAGTAAACTGTTCAATAGTCAGGCCAGTCCAGTCTTGAAATTCTTTATCACTTATTAGTTCATATTGTTCAAAATCTAAACCTTCTGTGCTGATATGGCTTATTAATAATCTTAGAGCACAAACAATTTGAGTTGCTCTGAATCCTCCGATAAAATTGTCTTGCAACGCAAGTAAATGCCAATCACCTTGCTCAAGGTGTTCATTGCATACACGGCTATTTTCGGTAATGAATAGGCTGTAGCGGCATAACATTCGTAGTATGATATCTTCGGGTATTCTGCGCCTCGTTGTATTTGGACAGTGTTGAAATACACACGTATTCGCCGAATTACCAGTACGGCTGAACCCGGGTAAAATGGTTGGTGAAGCTTGAGGCTCAGCGTTGACTTCTTCGTCTGCAACGTCATGATCGACTTCACGTTGGTGTCGGAGATACCGACGCTCAGCCCGTTGCCAACAGGGTCGACAAATAACCTCTTGTAGGTTCTTCCTGTAAAACAAGAAACATGTATTATTCGTTGCACATGTACATGAGCCGTGATATTCTAATCGTTTTGTTTCCTAAGCAAGTAAGGTTCGATTTCACGGTGTATATGTCGCAGCCAACTGGTTAAAATAGCCGTTCAATCAAACAGCTAGCCCTTTGACTGAACAACGCCATTCAATCACACGGCTATACGTCGTTTAGCCGACTTGTTGACTGCAACGTTCAACACTACAGCTAGACGACGTTTAGCCAACTGGTTAATATAAACAGTTTTTTTTTTCTGTTAACAGTTTTTTTTTCTGGCGCTTCGCCGGCCTCTGCCGCGGCACGCTCGCTACGCTCGCTCGGCTCGCGCGGCATGGTCACAACACTAACCTAACCTAGCCCCATCCCACTATCCCCCGTAATCCCGTAAGTGCTCCCATAATTTCTGTCTCTTTAATAACACTAGTAACGTATATTTAACACTTTCTTTCCGAAAAATATCTTGAAACAATCACAAACACCGGCTAGTTGACGCCATATTGAAAACAAAACGCACCTAGCGCCGCGGTGGTGAGCGCTGAACTAATTCGATTAGACGGCGGCTTTTGAATCAGCTGTAGTGTTGAACGTTTTGAGCTACTCAAATATTCAATTAAAGAGCTAGACGTGTGGTTGAATGGCGTTGTTCAGTCAAAGGGCTAGCTGTTTGATTGAACGGCTATTTTAACCAGTTGGCTGCGACATACACATACAAGGTGATACAATGATTAGTTCAGTACAAAGGTGTACTTATATATAGGAACAAAAACGTGTGAAATAAATAATGCTTGATAAATAACTATATAGAATGAAATAAAATAATTATTCATACCTGTCGAACTATTAGATCTTCAATAACAAACTGTGTAATCTCTATATGCCTTGATTCTCGGGAAGTCCAAGTATAACTTCGACGATCACCGATAGGCGTACGACACGAAATACACAATTCTGTACTCATAACGTCAGTTAAAACAATAACAATAAATAACTACAAACAAATAACAACAAACAAGAATAACAATATTAACTGAGTAGTTAAGCAAGTCGCGATGTAGCCGTCCGATGTAACAAGAGTCGCATGGATAACTGAACAAAACAAAAGAACGGGCGACGCGGGGAGTACAGTAGTTGCGGCGGGGGGGAGGGACAAGCGAATTGTGACGCTCTGTCTGTGCGGCGCGTATAACGGGAAACGCCGTTGATTATCGCGATGTTAGGAGTGGTGCGCGTAGGTGCAGCCACAACTTATCGCAATAATTAAGGGTGTTTCCCGTTGGTGTGACTCCGGCTGTAGAGTATCAATGATGAAAATACTTTCTTAATAGAGAATGGAATTCACTTTATTGCACATCAAAAGGACATACACAGTATGAATAATTAAATATACATGATCAAATCTATGAAAATAACAACATCATAATAACATTTTTATTGTATTTTAAAGGTAGGTAACACCGTAACCAAAGGGCGCACACGGTGTCGTAGTAAAAAATGATAGGAATTGTGTGTTCTATCCGAATATTACAATTTTTTATCCTGGCCGGCACTTTCAGTTTTTGGTCCAAAATGAATGATGTCCTTACGCATCACTTTTTGTCATAAAGGCACCTCTATGTCACTGCTGACGCCTATTATGTTACTCTTGTAGGTCTTCAACAGCTCTTATTGTTCGCATACACCAGTGATTTTTAATATCCTCAAAAAATAATCTTGAGGCATGGGAGTGAGAAGACTCACTGGGAGTTCGAAGACTTTCTGCCACCAATTTGATTTTAGGAGTTACGCACATTTCGACGACGGCCAGGCGTTGGATAATCCTTTAGAGATTATCCATTATTCCAGATATTTCAAATTGTTAACTATATGTGTGACAAATGATGTCCTTAGATTATGTTGACCACAAGTTTCTAGTATCGCACGAAACGTTTGGCGAATGGAACTGACGTTTTCATAATGCATTTCAACAGTTTGTTTTGTACACGTTGCTCAACTGTATAGCGACTCATCTTAATAAATACCGAACTTTCAATTACTTAACTGTCATAAAAATTGTCGCCAATAGATTATCCAATATGGCCGACATCGGCAGTATAAGATAACCTGTTCCTATTGATAAACCCTGTACATGAACGCCATACGTCCCTTGCGAGGTTACAAAAGCAATAAATGTGCGACATCATGAGAAAAATAAATATTACACAGCAAATTAAAATAAAAGTTCCATTTTCCCTTTTTATTTCCTAAATCTTGCATTATCCGCACCTGTCCCACAAAAACTAAAAAAATCAACGAGATGCAACTTTGATACACCAACCCTCGGTTCTATGCCATTCATACGGTTCCATTTATAGGCATTTTAGCTTATCCTTTTATAACGCTTCAGTGTTTTATACATGTTTTCCTGAGTTCAAACTGAATTTATACGCACCCAGCGCAATTTTAAGTCTCGAAGACGATTTGCGGGCCCATACAAAGGTGACTATGGGGGCCCGGCGTTTCGTTACTCCACGAGTTTTCAACTTTATTGCATAGGCATAGGGTAGCTTATATAAGTTTCCTCGGGCTAAAACTGCTATAACACTAGATACATACTCACCGCGTGCAATTAGTTGCCCACAAGCTTTCAACTTTGTTGTTTAGTCAAATGGTCGTTTTCTTGACCTAGAGCTTCTATAAAACTGTATTAAAACTTACCCCGTGCAGTTGTAAGTCTTGAAGACGAATTGCGGGCCCATCCAAAGGCGTCGATGGGGGCCCGCGTGCGTCACAATCTCCACTTGGGAGAGCCACCTTTCCTCCTCGCTCATACAGATGTCCGTGCATTTCTGTACCAAATTAAATGTTTCATCTTTGTACGATACAAGCGTACATCTCGCGAAGTCATCATAATTGTGTCAATAGTTACATATTTGCAACAGTTCACGTTTCCATACCGATCACGACGGGCGTGCACTCATCTATCAATGATTTATCATAGCAAAGTATCCGTTTTTATATAGTAATAAATAGTTTAAACTCTTATATTATTTAGCTATTATGATTCTTAAGGGTTAATCAGGAATAATAGCAATTCTACCGTATTAGTGAAGGATGCAGAAACCCAGCCGACATGATTTCGAGAAAACGGCTTTTAGAGTTGACAACTTCGCAAAATCATCATCATTTCAGCAGGTTTACTGAATTGTCCGCTAGGACAGCAGAATTATCGTAAAGCATCTACGGTATGTAGTGCTGCAAGGATCTTTATGAATGTGAGTAACAGTTCAGGAAGGGCGCCCATGGTGTAGATTCTGGCATGATTCTTTAAAACTTAAGTTTGACAACAGTGTTTTCTTTACATTCTTTATACAGAATAAAAACGAGAAACTGATGGTAATTTTAGTTTTAAGTTAAGAAAATCGTATCAGAATCGACCAGGGCTTGTTTACCGGTTAATTTTCAAACCTAAATCTGTATCAAGTACATTAGAAGCGTTTTATTAAGGTTTGGCTGAAAAGCGAAATGAAATAGGTTTTGAATCAATTTAGCGGTTTTTAAAGGGTTTCATTTCGCTCTTACTGACGGCATCGTCTTCGCCGTTTCAATTAAAATTTATAATGATTGTATGTCAGTTTCTTTGCAACTACAGAGCGAGTGAGTGAAGTAGTGTGTCAGTACACAACTACAAAATGAATAACTTGACTCACTAGACGCTAGCAAACGTGTCAATAAATGCATCAATCTCTGAGCATTAACAAGTTGTGACTTGATTAGTTCAAACAAAACAAATTTAAAGCGATGCCCACGCGGGCACGTGTCGCTCTGGATTAAACCGGTTTATTAAGGTTTAATGTACCGCTTTAATTTCGGACGCGCTCCGAACGAAACCTTTACTAAAAACCGGTATTAACCTTTATTTACCGGTATTTTCGAAACCGGTTACAAGCACTGGAATCGACACCACTGTTTACGCAAAAAGAGCGTAAATGACATACAAAATATGACGTTTACAAAGACGGCGGTGTTAGTTCAAATTTTCGCCACACTCAAAGATCCTTGGCTCACCATATACGGATCTTATACTCTAAACGTATGAAGTAATTTGGCCTTATTATATCCTTATCACGCTCTTTAGAGCAGAAAATCGAAATACTACTGTAAAATTTAGTTCAGGCTAAGAGTCATACACTATTAAAGATAGAACATTATAAAAGAACTGGTAAACATACTTTGGCATTAATCTCATTGTAATGCTACCTTCGAGACCTTGGGTTGTCGCCTTAAATTGATTTTTGCATTGCTTAGGCTAAGTAGGCCGGAAATCAAGATTGACGGGATTGGATTCGATAATCGTTCGTTTGTGAACCTGTTTAGAATTTACTGTCCTTTCCCCTCTCTCATTTGATAGATACTGTTTCACCAGATCTCTACAATATACAGAATTTCCTATTAGCAACTGATACTATTACGTTGGATGGATTTTGGCAACGAATTAGAAATTAAATGGATTAAACTCTAAAAAAAGCCGCTAAAACATGGTTCTAAACTTATCTCAACTAAACTTCAATGCTAACACTACACGCACACAGACAAAACAAAATACTCTGACATATCAAATATCTGGAAATGAATTCGGCTATCCAGTCATAGGGATCAAGAAAATGAAAACAACCTAATCTCAACCAATCCCTTGATCGGCGTGTTGATCGTATTTTATTCGCCCCGCCCTTTTGATCGCAGTTTGCGTGGAACCACTTTTTAGCGCAGACCGTATTCCATATTATTTCTAATTCATTGATTTATTGGATTAGAATATATATTCTTGTTTAATACTAACCGCGGCAGGGTGTGGTCGCAGTAATGGATTAGCTGGCGGCAATGGAGCCAGTAAATCAGCTGCTGCCGCCGGCCTCTGCAGCTGCCACTGGGCGATGCCTTCCACTTGCAGCTCGATCGGGGATTCGTCGCAGATCTTCTCTTTGGGCACACCTGTGTTAAATTTAACCATTATAAGAATTTTAAAAATTTGTTTATTTTTTATAGGTTGCGGCAAGTCAGTCAAAGAAACTTGCGTAGTAGACGTTCTTGTATGTAAAATTGCTACTGCGCAAGGTTCCTTGTATCTATCCTATGGTCGTTGCTCAAGAAGTTTTCCGGGTCATATACATAAATCAATCAATCAAAATCGTTTATTCAGCACAGTACACGGATACAGATAAATTGTTATACTTATAACTTACAAAATGACAATTAGATACAGGCATTAATAAATACCACTTAACATATATCATACTGGCGTCGATTCCGGCACGACCCCCCAAACGGAAACTTAAACCTGACAGCAGCGTATTCCTGTCACTACGTATAGTGAATGAAAAGGACTGACCGATGCCAAATTCAGTCCTAAGTTAATAGAATCATGCCAGAATCGATACCTATACAACTCCGTATCCACGGCTGCGCTGAAAAGGGCCCAGTTCAGCATAATGTCAGTGCACTATACACTGGCACTGGTTTTCAACTGGGTCCTTTATCTGACAAGTGGATGCCAAACACCAACGATTTTTTTATATGCATAATTATATAATTTAAAAGAAAAAATAATAAAGGGGCAAGGCTGTGTAAATCCGTTGCCTTTGCACCGAGACTTATTTGAACATATTTGAACAAAGCAATTAAAAAATAGCATTATCATGTATAGTAAACACCATTCAGATGAAATGGAACTAATCACACAACAGCCGTCGGCAGAGGCAAGCGCCACCAGACAAAATAATTTAGGTTTTATTTAGGCACATACAAGACTATAAAGGTGAAACAATGGAATGCCAGTGAAAAAGAAACATAACAATTATATGTAAGTAACTTAATTAGAATATGTACAAATTAAACAAAAGCAAAGCATGAGAACCCAACAACTTTAACTCGTATCAAATTGTTTGCAGACTGGTCATAGTGGAGAGGTAAAATTTTACAAAATACTGCTTTTCAAAGCAACACAGTGATCAATAATGAGATATTAGGTGGATAATATTCAAATTTGACATTGTGAGGGTAGTTAAAACAAATCATCGCGAAGTGATTGGGGGTACTTACCTCATATTCTTGTTTAATATGAACGGTTGAAGGTAAGTCATTACGGAGATTATCAGCTAGTAAATGCAGTGCTCTCGCTAATTGTACTGATTTGTTCTATTTACTTCCTGTTTTCGCGCACAGTTATTTGTTTGTTGTGACTTATACAGTGCATTATTGCATATTAATAAATATGGTGCACATTAAAGAAGGTATGTACTTCATTTTCTGTAACACTTTGTAACTGTTAATGGTTATAGTAATTTAGAAAAAATATTCAAAACTTAGCTTAACATTTAGTTTATTTTATTTTAAAGCCTGTATCTTACAAGGAACATACTAGAACATGGTTTTTTTTATACTGGTAAATAACTGGAAGCCTGTATTATGGTATTCAATAAAAATGTTTACCCCAAACTACCCCTGCCTGAACAAACTTTTCATTTTTGTAGGAAACGGTAGTACAGTTAGAAATTCAGTTTTATTTAATTACCTCAAAAAACACCCTCCAATTAAACCTGCAACTAAGCAATCTAAAGATATGTTATTAAACTATGTCTGTGAGGTCATTGGAATATCAGATTTAACAACACAAGAGCGAAATGAATTACGAAATTCAATACATAGCTTTTGTCTGTCAGCTTCCAGAAATTGGATTAAAATAGGCAAAGATGTTTCCAAATATGAAAAAAAATATGAGAATTCGTTGTGTACATTTTTAACAACCAATTCTCATATTGTTTTTTCAAATTGGAGGGTTTTTGGAGGTAATTAAATAAATCTGAATTTCTGACTGTACTACCGTTTCCTGCAAAAATGAAAAGTTTGTTCAGGCAGGGGTAGTTTGGGGTAAACATTTTTATTGAATACCATAATATAGGCTTCCAGTTATCTACCTATGGTATGGTACCTAAAATATATATAAATATGATAAATATTAGTACATATTTTATGAAGTTTAGGTGTAGGCTTTGTGTTTAGTATATATCTTTATTGCTTTTCAGGTCCTGATCTGTTATTGAAGTAATTACTTCTGGGCCTACATCACCAACTAAGCAGCAAGAATAGCGCCAAATATAGATGTCACACTAACACAGGCTCACTAGCAAGCTGTGTTCTGTTTTTATTTTTTGTCTATTTAATTATTATTTGATTATTTAAATTGCAAATTAATGTTTTCGTTTTTATAATATACCAACACATTATTTATTTATTATATTAGCAATCAATTAAGTTCACATAGTTATATGTATGACATATCCATATTTATATATCCCAATAGGGAAGATGCCATATTTTTATTTTTGTTTTCATTTTAAAGAATTCTATGTAGAATAAACCACAGATATATTAAAAAATTAAAACATTGTGATTTATCGGAAAAAATGCGGTTTTAAATTGACAATTTAAATTTTCGCGCGAAAACGAACCTGTGGTTGCGATGACGTCACTCCTGTCTGTCACTGGTCGTACTTGTTCGTCGCTGGCTTTAAATTTTCATACTTTTGCATATTTTTTCGACTTTCGAAATATTTTTTTGAAATTTTTAAAATGGAGTATCCATCAACATCATGTGATCATAACAATACCACTAATATTCCGAAAAAAAGCCGTGTTGACTCATGTTTTGTGCCAATCTACTTCAACAAAGTTTAAATAAATTGTTTTTGACTGGTAATTCTGACCCAAAACTGAAAAAAAGTGGTTTCAAGCTGCAAAGAGAAATGACAATTATTCTCCAAATACCATTATTCGATGCTGTGAAGATCACTTTGACGTAAGTCGGCGAATATACTTGTTATATGCTTAATTAATCTTCTTGTACGTAAAAACGCATTAGTAACCTACCTAATACTTACAAAACCTGTCTATAACATATTTTTAATTTTACAGTTGGAGAATGACGTCGAAAATAAGATAAAGTTTAAAAATGTGTGGCACAATCTTCACATTGGCTGGACTGAACCAAGCTTTGCGTTCCATTTAAAATAACTGTAACACGATAACCTTCTTTCGTACTTTATGCTCCGGAGAACTCGACCTTTTACTGTACATAATTCTCCATCTCTTTTAATTTGGACATAGCCGATTGCATTATCGCCGTAAGATTTGTAGAAGCCGCTGAATAAAATACGAAGTTTAACAACGACGATTTTTACATACCGTAGTAACATAGTCCCGTTCATTTCTACACTTAAAAACTCTGCACTTTGGACAAAAAAAGTTATAACCATGTCAATACTAACTCTTGGTAAATTCCTGGAGTCTGTTTTGATAAACGCAACTTCCATTTTTATTAAATGTAAAAAAACGCAATTAATATTCCCATAAAATAATATTTACTTTAACAACCATAACCTCAATGAAGTTGTCATAACAGGAGTGACGTCACTAAACGCTGATTGGTGTTTTTAAAATACGTTCTGTTTCAAGTATTTTTAATTCGTAATAATTGTTAAAAAACAACATTATGTAAAATAAAAACGTTACAGTGGCATTTCTTTTATATTTTTTTAACATTTTAAACATAAAATTTTCATATATATTATATATGCATCTTCCCTATTGTTGCTGTGCATTTGTGAAATATTGACGGAGATGTTTCTTGAATATATAAATAGAGGATAAATAGTTAATCGTGTAATAGGCTATTTGACAGAATGAAAAATAAAGTACCAATTGTTGACATCTGTATTTAATATGAATATTAGCAGCGATTTTACTATTCATAGAGAACAAATAATTTTTAACTTTTCTAAAGAAACATTAAATAGAAAAGGTTTTTTTGTTCTATGGTCACGTGACCAACAACCTAACGCTTGCGATTGGCGAAGACTTTAATGACGTCACACGCTATTAAACTCCCTGTATAAGTAAAATTACATTTTATCGTTTCACGTTTTAATGACAGTCGTGTGACGGCACATACTATTGAGACGCCATAATATTCAGAGCAGCGTTTCGCAGCAACTTGATAATCAAATTTTTGATTTAGTATTTTTAACTGAAATACACACAATAATGACGAATATCCATTTTTATGGCTCTAAACATTTGTTAATAACGTGAGATGGTTTTCCGAAAATTGTATCTGTGTTCTACTGATATTATTTTAATTGTACTGTTTAAGATTTAGTGTGGGGAACACTTTCTTTCTCACGCACGCGCTTACAAAAAACAAGGATGGAACTATGTCATTCGAGTAACAGCACAGCGTTAGGGCGCTTGTTAACGATACGATTTCATCCCGGTTTTACACGAGCACAGTGTGTACAAAGGTGCAGCAGCGTGCCGTTGGCTGTCATTAGGTAGAGCGCCGTGACAGGAGCGGCAGTGCCGCGCGGTAATGACGCGCTACTGACGCACGCAACACCGCAGCGAGCGTGGGCCAGTAGCGGGGCGCTGTTAATATAACTCACCGCTGAGCGGGGCAGCCTGCAGCACGAGGTGCAGCAGCGCCACGTTGGCCGTCATGAGGTAGAGCGCGGTGACGGGAGCAGGAGTGCCGCGCGCTAATGACGCGCTACTGACGCACGCGACACCGAAACGGGCGCGGGCCAGTAGCAGGGCACTGTTGATATAACTCACCGCTGAGCGGGGGCGCCTGCAGCACGAGGTGCAGCAGCGCGACGTTGGCCGTCATGAGGTAGAGCGCGGTGACGGGAGCAGGAGTGCCGCGCGCTAATGACGAGCTACTGATGCACGCGACACCGAAGCGGGCGCGGGCCAGTAGCAGGGCGCTGTCGAAATAACTCACCGCTGAGCGGGCGCGGCTGCAGCACGAGGTGCAGTAGCGCGCCGTTGGCCGTCATGAGGTAGAGCGCGGTGACGGGAGCGGGAGTGCCGCGCGGTAATGACGCGCTACTGACGCACGCGACACCGAAGCGGGCGCGGGCCAGTAGCGGGGCGCTGTTACTGTCTTCCGACAGCGAGGAAAGGCGTTGGCGACCTAGTGGAAGCAGGCAGACCACAATTCATCTTATAATTCCCAAACAGTCTGTTTCAAAATCTGTTGACACACTAATTTTACAATATCGCTAAAAACTATGTTATTTAAACGCGTTTGACATAAAGTTCAAACTCGATTGAGAAAATTTGGCATACTAACCACAAGGTAAATTTTCATCGATTCCCAAAGCAATTAATCTGTTGTATGGCTCATATTCATAGATATTTTATACACATAATCTAAATAAAATGAATGAATAATTCTATTTTTGTTGCTAGAATAGGAAAGATGCCCTTATATCTTCCTTTTTAACCGACTTCAAAAAAGGAGGAGGTTCTGTGTTCGACTATTTTTTTTTATGTATATTCACCGATTTCTCCGTCAATTGTGGACCGATTTCTAAAATTCTTTTTTTTATTCGAAAGAGTGCACTTCCGAGGTCGTTCCATTGGAACCAAGTCAGGATCTGATGGTGGAATCTGGGGAAATCTAGGGAAACCTTCAAATTTCAAGGCACGCACGATGATTTTTATGCATGTTCACCGATTTCTCCGTCAATTGTGTTATTGTTTACTTGGACCATGTTATTTTCAGTAAAATGGATGAAATATTTTTTTAAACAAAATATAAAAGCGACTTCAGAGTCGAAAATGGAACTAAAAAGTAAAAAAAATATCTGGTTCATGATTCGGAAGATTGAAACATTAAATAGATTTTCGTTTCTGATCGGTAATAATAATACATCTTTCAATTTTTACTTTTTCATTCCATTTTCGATTTTAAAGTCGGTTTTATTTTTTCTTGTTTAGCAACAAGTTTTGACTTAGAATTGTTCATTCATTTTATTACACTTAAAGCAGAGGAATGGACAATTAAGCATATAAGGTGTTTCAAGTTGTCACAAGTTACGACAAAATTATACACTTTATACAGTTCTACACTTTTAAGTAAAGTGCAAAAAACTGTATCAAATCACAAACGTTTTACTTAGGGCCTGTTTCACAATCGCTGAGTATAGTTCTAAGTAAGCTTATCTGCTCAGTAAAGAATAGGGATGTTGTTTTTTTTGGAAAAGCGTTTAAAAGCAAGCGTATGTGGCTGTCAACGTCAAAATCAACATCCCTATTTGTTTACTGAGCAGATAAGTTCTAAGTAGCTTATTAAGAACTTTACACAGCGATTGTGAAACAGGCCCTTAATCATATAAATATTGCTAGTCCAATAAATACCATCATATTAGAATTCTTACCAGAACTGGTCCTAGTTATAGTGTGCGTGGGTATGTTGGCCGTGGGTCGGAGTTGAGCTAGTGGCGCACAAGTAGTGGGGAGCGGATACGGCGGCAACCGCGGATTGGGGAACCACGATCCCACGGACAAACCTTCCCCTACCTGAGTGGAAATGACAGAGTTTAGTTAGAAAAATAGTCAAATAAATAGTCCTAGCTCAATACTACTCAATCACACAACTTCTGAACGCTTTAGCAAAGATTTAAATCGTAAGATATACCCTGACACCGAAAAACTGTGGCCATATTTTGCAATGACGTTATGATGATGGCCGTTTTGAGACATTACAATAGTGAAGTGAGTCATTTTTTTATCGCAAACATAAAGTAATGCTATTAAATGCGAGTCTCATCTAGATTTTTTTTTTGTATTTTAACCAACATTGCAAACAGTAGCTGATCGAAAGGATTGAATCAAATGAAAAATGTAAATGTCTAAATTAGCTCAGCGATCCTATGTGAGGCGATCGTTTTGATTTATTTATTATACATTTCGAATTTATAAAAATACAAATACTTAGTTATGTGGTAAATAAGTACATTGCAATTATATTGTCACTAGCAGACCCGGCGAACTGCGTACCGCCTTTATAACAGTCGATAAATGTGGCTTTCTTGAATATCTAACTTAATTAAATTTAGGTTTATTTCGCTTGTAACTTTACCGTAACTTGTAAAGTTACAAGCGAAATAAAACAAACACAAAAAAGTTCAATAGTTTACTTGGATAAATCTAAATATAAAACAAAGTCGTGTTATACACACACACTTATAACTCAAGAGTGGCTGGACCGACTTTTATGAGAATTATGATTTTTTGGAATCCTCTCCGCCCCGAATAGTAGAAAAACTATTTAAATATAGGAAAAATCACGGAAAAAAAGTTATGCGGAAAATCGATTGTCGTAAATAAATTAGGTTTGGTTTTCCGCCTTCTTCCTCAATCACAGCTCACGTCACAAAAGTACAAAGCTTATTTGTACGTTCCGCAAATCTGTTATTACAATAATTAGAAAATGATCGCTTTAAAGAGTGATATTGTAAAAAAATATTGTAATCGCAAGACAAGTTGCAATACTAGCCGATATTTTTAGTAGGAAAGCTAGCGACGTCACGAAAAAGTTCATTTTAGGTCGGCCAATTTTTTTATAATTCCCATTCTTATTGACAGTGGGTTGGGATGCAGTACGTCTGGCACCCAGAAGCCGTTGCGTTCAGTTGCGCGCATCCCACCTGTACAGGTAAGAATTGTGCATTTTGAAATCATTTTAACACAATTTTTTTTTTTAGAAAATTTATGTGTCTCGTTAGCAATATAAATTTAAAATTGCCAGACATTTTTGTCGTTGCTAACCTTGCCCCAGACACAATTTCAAAAATTAAAAAATAATTATTTTTAAACAATTTTGGTATGTCTGTAACTTTGATATAATGTAGTTCAGCAATAAAAAAATATGAGAAAAATTTGCCAGACAGAAATTCCGTTACTTAATAAGAATTCAAGTCAATTTAAGTTTCAGAGAGAATAGGTTAATTATAAGAGTGCGGCGCTCAGAGGGGGTAGAAGGTTGCTTTCCAATTACAGCATTATAGCGCATTATTAATAGCATAATGCTTAACGTTGAGTGTTCCAACTACAGCAACGCTTCGCACAATTGAGCACTCTCAAAAGTGATGCTTTCGTGTGATGCGTGCAATCGTACCAACTTAGAGACACAAAATTAACAAGTGTTTTTTCTTTAAGTTGGCATTGATCGAAATGTTTTATTTATATGTTATCGTTAGTAATATTATTTATTGTTGAAAAATTATTAAAACTTTCGTTTCATTAAATAGTTTTTTTTAAATAATCAAAGTTCATTCAAGCTGTTAAAAAATAAATATAAGTATGGATGAAGGTACAAACATTAACTTTTTTTTCAACACTGAACTTAGCGCACTCTGCTGGTGCATTTGAAAACTAATTCACGTTCCAATTAAGCATCAGCATAATTGGGCATTGTGCGGCACTGAGTCGCATTATGCTCTGTAATTGGAAAGAATACTTGGTATACCTTGTGGAAATTTTTCTCCGACATTTCTCAAAAATTCTCCGAATCTTCCGAATATTTCCAATTTTTTACACTTTTTGAGGCAATTGAGAGAAAAAATGGGTTATCTCCGAAAAAATGGGAATACGATTTTCTCCCGTATTTTCCGAGCTTCGATGTACTTACTACTGCAGTTATATTGAACTTTAGATTCCTTGACTATTTATCGTGCACATATTTCCAAAAATGGACAAATCATAATTGAATGATTTTACTTGAAAAATATTACTATTATGACGAAAATTTTATTTAGTTCACGACAAACAATGGATTGCACCAATGGATTCGGAGAAATCTCCAGCAGTAAAAAATTATGATATTCTTCAGAAAATTTTGGAATGATTTATAAATTATTTTGATAAATTATGGGTTTCTCAAAGAGCGTAATGAATATGTAAAAAGGATTTTCTTGAGCATTTTGAATAATTTTGTAAAAATTTCGGAGGAAGTTTTCCACTAGATATGTGATAAATGTCGAAACAAAAAAAAAATCTATGTATATAGGTTAGAACTTCTACACTAATTGAATGGAATAATAAATAAACTAAAATGAGATAGCAAAAATTGATAAAACATATTATCAGAAAAATAATATTTTTTTTATTGTAAATAGCTGAGAATTGGGAAGGATATACAAATTAAAAAAACATTAAATACATTAAAGATGAGTAATTATTATTATTAATTAATAATTTCTTGACATCCAAATTCTTCGGCGTCAAGATCATCTTCGTCACTGCTATTGTTGTCATCAATATTCATATCATCATTATCATGACTGTGATAAGCTAGTACAAGTTGTACTAGGAACATCAGTAATCGATGAAAAGTTAGATACACATTCATTACGATATTTAGACATCAATGATGTAAAAGAACTATAACAATGTCTATGGTATCCAACAGTAGCAATCACATTGTCCGGTAACTTCACATTTTTATATTTTAGGTTGAACTTAATACGAGCATTTAAAATTTCTGCACACTTTTTCAATTTTTCTTCGTTAAATATTATTATTTTACCACTTTGGTCTGAGCAAAAAACACATTTTGCTTTTCGTTAGCCATGACGTAAAAATTAATTTTTTCTATTAATAAACACGAGACAACAAAATACAAGCGTTTACACTCCTGTAGGTGACGCCATGTTGAAAATAGCAGCTGTGGCTATACTTCTCTCCCTCTACCTCTCTCTGTCGCAACTATCTCTCTCACACAACAGACGAATTAGTTTCCGCACTCTTCTAACTCACCTATTCTCCCAGAAACTTAAATTAATTTAAATTCTCATTAAGCAACAGAATTTCTGTCTGGTAAATTTTTATCATATTTCTTTATTGCTGAACTACATTATATCAAAATTACAGACATACTAAAATTGTTTAAAAATAATTATTTTTTAATTATTGAAATTGTGTCTGGGGCAATGTTAGCAACGACAAAAGTGTCTGGCAATTATGGTTTTATATTGCTAACGAGACATATGAAATTTATAAAAAAAAATGTCTTAAAATGATTTCAAAATGTACAATTTTTACCTGTACAGGTGGTATGCGCACAACTGAACGCAACCGCTTCCAGGTGCTAGACGTACGACATCCCAACCTACTGTCAATAAGAATGGGAATTATACAAAAATTAGCCGACCTAAAATTCATTCTCGAAAATGTTGCCAGCTCTTATACTATTTGGTAAGGAAACGATGGGTATAACTTCAACACTATACTACATCAATCATATTATATGATAATAATGACGCGATAAATATCAATATCGCAGTTTTCATTTCATTATAACATGAATTTTACTCCATTCGGTTAAATTTTCCAAAAATATAGAAATATTCCTAATTTGCCAAGAAGTAGTAGGGTACTGAGAGATTAAGGGAGGTCTGTGTTTGGAGAATAGTTATCAAGCCGCGTATCCACTAGAGGCAGCCTCGCGTCGAGCGGCCTCGACTTGAAGCAAATAGCCTCAGTTTGAGGCTGCTTGCTCTGAGGCAACGGCTACGGATCAACTCGAGGCGTGTCGCCTCAGCTTGATCTGCCGGCGGCGCACTGCGCAGTTAAAAGCCAAAACGCGATGGCACCAGACGCGCGTCGTGTAGCTGCTGCTTTAATAGCAATAATCATTATTAAGAAAAACAGGAGGCAACAAAAAGCTATACAAAAGAGAGAGACCGCGTCTCATTCTCCATTGCGATGCAGGCGACGGGCGCGACCGTCTCCATTAAACACACGGCTCGAACTGAGGCGCCTTTGAGCACGGCACAGAAACCGACAAAATATGGTTCGGCTCGCGGTGACGAATTTGCCTCGCGTCGCGGCGTGCCTCAGGTTGAGGCAGCGTCTCCACTTGCGCAGCCTCGTAGTTAGACAGCCGCTCGACCCGGGGCTGCCTCTAGTGGATACGCGGCTTTAGGCAAATACATGGCACCCTGGCAAACAATAAACCCCGTTTTAAATTTCGCAGATACACTATTAAAGCAAAAGTTATTGAAATTTCATTTTCTCTATATAGATATATTATCCTTATACACTATTTAACATTTTTGTATTTGTTTTATTGCTGCAAAATCATTAATTTAAATTATAGTTAATATAAATTAATATAACCACATTCATCGACTTTTGGGCGGTACGAAGTTCGCCGGGTCAGCTAGTTAGATATAAAGAAAAGATAGAGATATTATAATGAAATCTTTCGAACGGATATTTTTTACCGGAAGCCGTAAATACAATTATGGATAATATATTATATTAACTAAATATAATACAATTTTGTAAAATTTTAATGCTATGCCCTAAGATTACCGATTCGATAAATTTTAGGACTAAGTGCTCGTCACTAAAATGAGAATGAAGAACAGTAATTAGTTCTTTCGAATTTAGAACATTTTTTTTGTGAAACCTCATGGACGGAAACACACAGCGCGGTATCGAGAGAATAGTGTTGTTTCTCTTTGTTTAGCAATATTTTTCAAGACTTCTTTCTCTGTCATGCGCTGTCCGATCAATTTTCAATATTTATGACAACGGAAGAAAATAAATTTAATAAATAATGAAATCTAAAAACTTCCGAGTGAAATGTTACACCATCAGCTTTATTTGTATTTCTCGAATTGTTAGTGGACTTTCGGAAGGCACACTACGGCATTTTAATACACTTTTCTCGCTAAAATGCCTGCGGTATTTTATTCACCAACGTCAAACTGACACTAAGTTCAGATGAATACTGATTAGAAAAGCCATGATGATACGCTACTTCGCCTATTCGAGTGCTGTCAGCTTTCAGAGCGGTCAAACTATGGTAAGGGAATATCTAACGGTTGACGACGCGCGGCTGAGTGTGCGTGCGCGCGTGGGAGCTAACTGCACGCAGGTCACAATACACGCGCCACGTACCGGGCTGCCGGAGGCGCGCTTGTTGTGGGCTTGGGCGGTGTGGATGGGCAGCCCGGCGGAGCGGTGGAAGCGTGACAGGCTGTTGACAACGAGTGGCTGAGTGTGCGTGCGCACTTGGGAGCTAACTACACGCGGGTCACAATACACGCGCCACGTATCGGGCTGCCGGAGGCGCGCTTGCTGTGTAAAATTTTAATGCTATGCCCTAAGATTACCGATTCGATAAATTTTAGGACTAAGTGCTCGTCACTAAAATGAGAATGAAGAACAGTAATTAGTTCTTTCGAATTTAGAACATTTTTTTATAAAACTTCATGGACGGAAACACACAGCGCGGTATCGAGAGAATAGTGTTGTTTCTCTTTGTTTAGCAATATTTTTCAAGACTTCTTTCTCTGTCATGCGCTGTCCGATCAAATTTCAATATTTATGACAACGAAAGAAAATAAATTTAATAAATAATGAAATCTAAAAACTTCCGAGTGAAATGTTACACCATCAGCTTTATTTGTATTTCTCGAATTGTTAGTGGACTTTCGGAAGGCACACTACGGCATTTTAATACACTTTTCTCGCTAAAATGCCTGCGGTATTTTATTCACCAACGTCAAACTGACACTAAGTTCAGATGAATACTGATTAGAAAAGCCATGATGATACGCTACTTCGCCTATTCGAGTGCTGTCAGCTTTCAGAGCGGTCAAACTATGGTAAGGGAATATCTAACGGTTGACGACGCGCGGCTGAGTGTGCGTGCGCGCGTGGGAGCTAACTGCACGCGGGTCACAATACACGCGCCACGTACCGGGCTGCCGGAGGCGCGCTTGTTGTGGGCTTGGGCGGTGTGAATGGGCAGCCCGGCGGAGCGGTGGAAGCGTGACAGGCGGTCGACGACGAGTGGCTGAGTGTGCGTGCGCACGTGGGAGCTAACTACACGCGGGTCACAATACACGCGCCACGTACCGGGCTGCCGGAGGCGCGCTTGCTGTGGGCTTGGGCGGCGTGGATGGGCAGCCCGGCGGAGCGGTGGAAGCGCGATAGGCGGTTGACGACGCGCGGCTGAGTGTGCGTGCGCACGTGGGAGCTAACTACACGCGGGTCACAATACACGCGCCACGTACCGGGCTGCCGGAGGCGCGCTTGCTGTGGGCTTGGGCGGCGTGGATGGGCAGCCCGGCGGAGCGGTGGAAGCGCGATAGGCGGTTGACGACGCGCGGCTGAGTGTGCGTGCGCACGTGGGAGCTAACTACACGCGGGTCACAATACACGCGCCACGTACCGGGCTGCCGGAGGCGCGCTTGCTGTGGGCTTGGGCTGCGTGAATGGGCAACCCAGCGGAGCGGTGGAAGCGCGACAGGCGGTTGACGACGCGCGGCTGAGTGTGCGTGCGCACGCCGCAGGGCCCGCCGTACGGGCTCACGGCGAATATGTGCGTGGTGCCGCGTAATGTCGACACTGCCGCCCAACGCGAGTCCGGCGATATCGCTATATCCTGTAGACAAATGGAGAGAAGACTCACTTTAATTGCTTCAGAATTAAAGACAGTCATTACCAATAGGAATGATAAATGAGTAATGTAAAACAAATTAAAATAAGTTCGTCAGCTAGATTATCAAAAAATAATGAACACATATTTTCTCTTTTGTGAATCGACCAAAAAAATACAAAGAAAAAGCGTGTCAAAGTTTGGGAGTGGGGCCTCGTGTCGTCACTTCTAAGTATAAATTGTACCAAGACGTGACGTCATGTGACATTTCAAATCAATATACGTCTGTAATGTTTTAATTATTTGAAAAAAAATACGTGTCCAATACTCTTTATTATGCTACCTGATAAAGAAAAAACATTTATTGACGACATACATTAACGATTACAATAAATACACAACCAACATAAAACAAAAGGTATATCGTCAACTAGGCCCCATTTCAGCATAATGTTGCAACGGCAAAAACAGATTGCCGCTGCAACGCTGATATTCTGAAGGGATCTTATTTGGACATCAACGGACGGAGATACAAGACAATCATTTAATATACAAAATAAAAATAAAAGAAGATATTTATATAATAATACTTGTTCGCGCCCCTATAAACCCCACATATACATACATATAAAAGAAAAGGAATATTACAAATCATAGCGAAAACTTGCATTTATATAACGGATGGCGCCATCTATTGAATGGGACACCGGAGCGCTCTTAGCCCAAGCGTCATTGGTTGTCGCCGGCAGATAGCAGATGTCGCCCGCGTTCGTGTGTTCGGCTGGTTTTACCGACCATAATGTCATGACTTGTTAAAATTGTTAAATTCATTCTGTCAAGAAAACTGTTACTGCTAAATTGTATCTATTATAACATAAAGCGAAATTACTAAAATACACCGAGTTTTTACTAAAGAAGACTCCATTCTATGCCCAAACATAGAAAGTTTTTTGGCGACCGTGACAGGACACGAATTACAGTCTTCAGAGGAAAAATCCGTTGCCCGAAACCGGCGTCTGAAGAAAGAAACCTAAAAATTTCAAGGAATTATTATACGAAAAAGGAAAGCAAAGCAAAAGGAAAACTCAACAATTCGTCGTGTGGCTTGCGAGGTCCAACGAGTCATCTAAAGAATCGTGCTGAGCAGAAAACACAGTCGAAGTCAAAAGTTAAGTGCCATCCTTTCTTCCAAAATTACACAAAATCCATTCCTATCTATTTATTATCATAAATACCATTACCAATTATAAATTGTATCTACTTGTTTTACATAATTTTAGTGCATTTTTCGGCAAATAATCAACTACAAAACCGTAAGTACCTACCTACCTACATAATTTTTATAAAAAAATCTGCTAAAATCAAGGTTTAATTGTATAATTTATTGTATTTCCCTCTACTCAATAATAATAACTTCCCTAAATTCAATTAATTTCATGCTAATAACTTCCAAATTGATTTGAAAAAGATTTTTTTGTGACACTATTTATTACCCACAATTAGCTCAATCCAGTTCCAGCCAAAGAGAGGTAGGGCATAGCGGATTCGCCGCTCGAATTGGAGCGCCCGTCTGGGGAAGTAACCTCCACCTTACAGAATACCGCAGTGAAATAACACTACCTTTTGGTGGTGTTGTGTTTCTGTCAGTGAGTAAGGTTCCAGGGCTCCACGGGGTAGGATTTCTAGGGGTGTAATTTTATGTGTGTTGGGATTTAATATAAAATAAAAGAATTCTTCAAAACAGTGTAGGTTTATTAATTGGTTTTATTATATAACAAAAAAGGAAAAAGTTTAAATTATTTAAAATCAATATCAGTTGTTAGTTAACAAATAGAGCATTTTAGTGTCACAAAAGTGTTATTTGGCTGTTTTCTCATCCGATTTAACGGGCATTTTCCAGGCAAATCATTTGTGGTGCGGAAAGGTGACAGAGCGTTTGGAGTTCGATCGCTTGCGTTACCGGAGGACACCCACCGAGACATTCCGGCAAATTGGGAGCGTCAGATAAGCCTGTTCAATTATTCCTATTTTTTTTTTTTTTTGCAAACAAGTTCAATATTTCCTCTTTTGCCGTCGAATTTTGTTGATTGAATAAGCATTTTCGTAATTTTCCAATTAATTTGGTGTCAAAATGGCTACTGCATTATCACCTAATCCAGCTGTTTCTAATTTAATTGCTACAACATCAAATTTAAAATCTCTTTATACAAAACGCAGTTCTATAAAGGGACAAATAACTAAGTTTAAAAATTATATAGAAAAGATAAGTGAGAACATAGAGGAAAAAACTGATTTAGAAATTGCAGAATTAAATTTAAAATTAAATAAATTTGAAAGCTTGTCAGCCAGATTCGACGATTTGCAGACTGAGATAGAAGATATAAATTCAGATAATTTATCATGTGAGGTTGATGAAAGGGAGCTCATTGAGGATTTGTTTATTCAATGCATTGCAAAGGCTAAAGCTATAATAAAACAAAATGATGGCTCGATAAACAAGTCTATCCATGAGTGCCCTGACATAGAATTGGGTATAAGGTTGCCACAAATTCAAATTTCAAAATTTGACGGATCCTACTTCCGCTGGCTTGAGTTCCGTGACACTTTTACGAATTTAATTCACAAAAAAACCAACATAACAGATATACATAAATTTCATTACTTAATATCGTATCTTGAAGGGGATGCAGCGCGTATCATTACCAATTTGGAAGTATCTTCTACTAATTACAAGGAAGCCTGGCAGCTTCTTTGTGATCGTTACGACAATAAGAGGCTTCTCATTAATCATCATTTAGATTCATTATTTAAAATTCATCCCATAAATCGAGAATCGGAAAGATCATTGCGTTTCCTTGTTGATCATGTCACTAAAAATCTTCGGGCACTTACTAGCCTTGGTCTTCCAACCCAACATTGGGACGTTCTTGTAATTTTCATTCTTTCGTCAAAATTGGATAGTGAAACGAATGTCAAATGGGAGGAATTTCGAAATACTTTGGATGACATTCCTTCTTTAGAACAATTTAAGAAGTTTTTGGTTGACCGTGCCGATGTACTCGAATCCTTGAATCGCAATAAACATCTAAACAAGCCGACTGTCGGCAACAACTTCAAGGTCACGTCAAATTCAAATATGAAATTTCATTCTCGTTCGTTTCCTAATTACAATTCGAGCAATAGTAAAGTTAATAGTAACAATGATGGCAAAAATACGAATACCTTTATATCCGTAAAATCAAACCAAAACAATTCTACATTCTTGTGCGTAATCTGTAATAATAATCACAGAATTTATGATTGCCCAGTTTTCAAATCAAAAAGTTTAAAGGAAAAATATTCACTAGTTGCTAAATATAAGTTATGTCAAAACTGTTTACGTCAAGGGCATCCTCTTAATGAATGTCGTATGGGGCCTTGTCGACAATGCAATCAACGGCATAATACTTTGTTGCACGATCCTGGCGTTGTTGTCGGCTGTTCTACCTCTGAACATGTTGATGGAGGTAGTGAACCTAATTCGGTTGTAACCTTATATAATGGTGATTCGAATTGTGCGCTTCTTTCCACGGCTTTGTTGGACGTCATCAATCCGGATAGTGGTGCGATAGAAAGAGTGCGTGCTCTGCTTGATTGTGGTAGTCAGTCTTCGTTTATAACAAAGTCGCTTACACAAAGGTTATCACTGAACACTGCACCTCTAAAGGCGGTTAATGTGATTGGAATAGGAAATAATTGCAACAATAAAATAAAGGAAAGTTGTTTGGCTAAGATTAAGTCTATAAATAGTACTTACCAAACTACCTTATCCTGCTATGTACTCGAAGAGTTAACAGGTTTGTTGCCAAAGACACCTGTTAATGTACAAAATATGAACATACCCAAAACCATAAGGCTTGCAGATCCTCAGTTTGCCCATCCTGCTCCGGTTGATGTTTTGATTGGTGCGGATCTCTTTTGGGACATTCTTGGCTGTAAGCAAAAATACTTGGGACCAAATAACAAAATACAATTACGAAGTTCTAAATTCGGTTGGATTGTTGCTGGTTCAACTAACTTATTGGGACATAATAAGTTTTTTTGCAATCATGCATCTCTCAATCAAAATAAAACACTTAAGGTTGATGAATTAATAACAAAATTTTGGGAGCTCGAAGATCTGCCACAAAAGACAGTTCTCGGCTACAATGATATTGAATGTGAAAAACATTTTGTGAAGAATACATCTCGTACTCCAGAGGGCAGATTTTGCGTGAAGTTGCCTCTAAAGGATACTCCCGACTGCCTTGGAGATTCTTACTTTCGAGCCAAACAAAGGCTTCTAAACCTTGAAAAGCGATTTAAAAGAAATCCAGAGCTAAAATTACAATATACAAACTTTATGCGGGAATATCAAGATTTAGGTCATATGTCTGAATCACCCACGAAAGAACAATATCCATCATATTTTTTATGTCATCATGCTGTCTTTAAAGAGGAGAGTGAGTCAACCAAAATTCGAGTCGTGTTCGATGGCTCCTCTCCCACAACTTCAGGATATTCTTTAAACGATATATTGATGGTGGGCCCTAACGTCCAACAGTCGCTTTTTTCCATATTGGTCAGAGCCCGTCAACACAAATTTCTCTTGACCGGTGACATAGCTAAAATGTACCGTCAAATAAATGTCAATGAAGAAGACAGGGACTTGCAACTGATCTTGTGGAGGGAAAATGAGAATGAGCCCATTAAAACATGGCGTCTCAATACTACAACATATGGTACTGCAAGCGCTAGTTACTTGAGTACTAGATGTTTAAACCAAGTTGGAGAGGAATGTGGTGAACAATTCATCAAAGATATCATACAAAAGGATTTCTATGTTGATGATTTGATCACCGGCTGTGATAATGAACTAGAGTTACGTCACATACTAAATTCAGTAACAAACGCCCTAAATTCAGCATGTTTCCTCTTGAGGAAATTTAAAACAAATTCAAAGGTTTTGTTTGAAGATTCAGATTTGA